AAGCTTTCATAAATGATTTCTTTGTGTCAATTTTGTGTCCTCCACAGTAAGAAATTGGTTAATTTAGTACATGTGAAGGCACCAGCCTGAACATATTAATGCAGCTTGTGCACTGCTGCCTCAGCATCCACACAGTTAATATAGGCTGGGTTTGTTTAGAATAAACCTACAACTTTGCCCCCAAAATCTATTTTCATAATGTGTTGAAGCCTTTACACACCAGTAATCCCACTGCTGAGATTGTGTCAGGACTGTTTTATCCAACCAAACAGGCCTATTCAGTTTTACTATCATGACAAAAACTATCAAGGCAAACACCACTGGCCAAGATGGAAACAGGTAATGGTGCAACTGCAAATCCATTGTTAATGAAAAAAAAAAAGACTGAAACAAATAACTGATTAGATTCCGACAGAGCGGTGAACAGCAGCCTGTTTGTGGTTAGATGGCACAAATTTCTGACTGTGACAGTTCATCATGCATCATGATGATCTTGTTGGGGAACTTTGTACCAGCGTCAGTACAATAACATAGTGTTAAACTGTTCACAGTGACTTTGTGATAATTTCACCTGTATACGGCAGTAGGGACTGAAAGCATTATTAACCTACATCATAGTTATGATTATTTTCATTATTATAAAATGAAACAACTGTAAGTTACTTCAACTGATATTAACATACAGAATACATACAGATACAGAATCAGTCTAATGTGGATAACTTGGTTTTCCATGTATGCAGAATGGGGTGCTGGTTGATTGTGTGCATGTAAACATAAGATTAAAACAAAATATTCCACTCTGTTTTACTGATGATAAAATAAACTGGACTTCTTCCTACTCCATTCAAGCATGTACTAGGTATAAGCAAATTGATATTGGATTATGTGTAAAATTATGTGTGTTGTCATATCAACTGTTTTACGTGCTTGAAAGAATAAATCAAATCAAAACCAATCAGAACTTCATTGAAAATTTGAAGTTCAACTAACAAAGGCAACACTTAAGAAATTATGATAGCTTTTATTGAAGTTTGCTGCCTTGGCATTTTGATTTTTCTCAACTCTTTTTTTTTTTTTTTTTTTGCTTTGACAGGGTATTTTTGAATGAACAAGGAAATTTTTATCAAGGATTACAAAAATGTCACAGCTGACCCATGCACACCACAAAGACTGAAACAAAGTGCAAAAATCTGGTGCAAACTTTATAACATCAGGTTTTCATGCCAGAATCACAGAATCTCAATTTCATGATGCAGAACACTGATTATAAACACAAACAGACATTTTTGTGTTTGCACTGCGTCCCTCCTCTCATCATCACTTTTCAAAATAATTCATAACTCTTATTGTGGAAATCAATCTGATCACAGAAATTAAATTAAAGCGACAACAAGGGGAATAGAGTTTGTGCTTTCAGTGCAATTAAGACAATCCTAGTGCAGTTAGTGTCCTGGTTCAATCTGTACATATTTAATATATATGTATATTTATTTAACATCCACAGAGCTTTCTGACATTTTAGTGCAAAATATACATTGGTTTCCTGCTAGTTTCCAGTCAGTTTCCTGATGTGTTCCTGTCAGTCTTCTGTTGATTTCCTGTAGTGTTCTGTCAGCAACCTGTTAGTTTCTGCTCAGTGTTTGCATCAATCACAGTAAAGCAGCTTCTTCTTTTTGCAGATTTTTAAAATAGTCTGCCATTTTCAGTGCAGCTCACGGTTGAGCTACTTAACAATAATAAATGTGACGTTCACGTAATCTAAATCTCTTCACAGTGTTTTCTGTTTTCTCATGGTTCTAGAGAATCTTGCTGCAGGTTTGACACATGACTCTAATGAAAATGACTAAGTCGACAGTCTGAGTCCCTCCGAGCAGAAAAGAAGCAGTTGAAACTTCTGCAGCAGTGAAGCAGGAAGTGTTTTCCCTTTTCAGCCTCTGTGTGTGTATGTCTTTCTGTGGTTTTTGTGGATAGACTGTAGCTCAAAACTGTCGCTGTGAGGACAGTTAGGCCAGTCCTCACACCTTCAGAGGGCTGTTTGAGGGTTAAGAACTGGGTTCAGAATCAAGTTTAGGTTAGGGGCCTGCAAATGCATTATGTCCTCCCAGCTATAGAAAGATAAAGATGAGAGTCTGTGTGAGACAGTCCACCAGTGCCGTCAGATTAAAGTCCTTCTCGTCCATGGGGAGTCTGAACCTCCTTGCTGTTCTTCTAAAAACTGCAAAGGAAATAAAGAGATTAAATCTACACTACAGCTGAAAGTACAACATACAACAGAACCTTTTTCCTTCAGCTTTTCTCTAGTATGCCATCATTTAAATGGTCTGAACAGGTCTGACAGACCTAATGTTGGAGCTTGCATGTGCTTTGTCCTTTGGAACCACAGTATTTTTCAATGCAAAGGAAAGACACCATAGATGCATTAGCACACGGCACAAACATCAAGCGGTGCATACCTCCTGCTGCTGGTCTCACAGTCTAGGGTCCCTGCTGAAGACAGACAGACAGACAGAAGATTTATAGTCACTTCTCTTTTAGTGACATTAATATTCACAGAAAAGGTGAAAAAGAGCCAAACCTCCATCATTTTGAACTTTCTTTACATGTCTAACGCACAGCACCCAGAGGAGACACATACAGACACTGACTTACTGCAGCAGAGTGGCTCAGTTTGTCTAAACGAAACTTCAGGCTGGATCTGGGAGAGTTTCTATTTTTCATCTCTGAAAAAGAACACAGGAAAACAAATGATCAGCAAAAGAAAATACATGAGGGGAGCTGACTGTGAAGAGCTCTGATGTTGAGTGTGTGAAACCCGCAGACGTCAGACTGTGTCACACCGAGTACAGAGCTTTTTGTGTGTGGACGCTTTACTGAACCTGTGGGGCTGCGGCAGACGGTGAGCGGGCTTGAACTCTGACCCTCCACTGTTACAGTCTGAGTGAGCTAAAAACAAACAAACAGAGGACAGATCAATGATTTTACATGTATTACATCACATGTATTAAAATGTTTACTATGTGTTTGAGATCATCTCTGTTTTCATCCATATCTCCTGATACTGTTAGTTTTACTTTAATTCAGTTCATAGCACCAAATCACAACTTTACGTAGCCGGGTCTAGACACACAGTGTTACAGAGAGAAACCCGACAGATCTCCCTTGAGCAGCACTTGGCGACAGTGGGGAGGAAAAACTCCCTCTAACAGAAGAAACCTCTGATAGTATTATTATTATCTCCTGCTAAGTCCCGTTTAAATGCCCTACATAGGAGAAACACATTAGATGTGAATGACTCCACAAATGTTCCTCTGGTGCCACCCTCACACCAACTTTACACAAGACTAACTCCATCCACATCTCAGGCCTTAACGCTCAGTTCTGACCTTTATGTATCACTGCTTCCCATCTGAACGTGTCAGTGACATGTACCTGGCCCCGGTGTGAACATCACTGAGCTCCTACACTGCCACACATGCACAGATTGAACTGAAATGTGAGCCACGTGCATGGATCCATGGAAGTGGCCCAGATCCGATCTGAAAACATCTGATGTGGTTTGTTCCCACTTCTGTGGAAACATCAGGTCTGACTCACTGGGAGGGAAACTTCAACTGGGATGTGGGCGGAGCCTCAGGCTGTTATTTGTAATGTTAGGGCTGTCGCCTCACAGCAAAGAAGGTTCTGGGTACAGGCCACGGCCGACCCAGGGCCTTTCTCTGTAGAGTCTGCATGTTCTCCCTGTGCCTGCTTGGGTTCAATCCGGCTAGTGCCGGCTTCCTCCCACAGTCCAAAGACATGCAGCTTAGGTTGACTGGTGGATCTAAACTGCCTGTAGGAGTGTGTGTGGTTGTTTGTCTACATGTCAGCCCTGTGACAGACTGGTGACCTGTCCAGGGTGGCCCCCGCCTCTCACCCAGTGTCTACTGGGATTGGTTCCAGCCCCCCCACGACCCTGTTCAGGAATAAGCGGTATAGATAATGGATGGATGGATGTTGTTTGTAACTGTACTGTCTGACCAGGTGCACGTCATCAGTAGGGACACTGAAGCTGCAGGTGCTGGATGTCGATCTGGAAATTTTACTGCTGTCCTTCTTCATGTGGATCCTGCAGATTAGAAAAACATCTTAGGGACCATCTCAGTCCTGTTTCTCTGTGGATGTACAGCACCAGTCGAACGTTTGGACCACTGGTACTGTATTAGCACTCTCACTATCTATAACAAATAAAGTGTAATGATATGAAAATCCACATTTTTAATGAAACCAAGTCTCCTGTAACCAAACATGTTTCTGGTATACTTGCCCAGAAGAAGACCAGTGGGTCAACTCAATGGCTCTACCTTCTAAATATACTGTATCATGTAAGCTTTCAGTGTGAGGTCATTTTTCCCATGTTCAATTTGTAACAAACCAAACAGCTGTAACATCACTGCTCCATAGCACAACTACTGGTCAGAAACTCCACAGGTACCTTTAATGTGATTCTGATGTAGCCGGGGAGAAAGAAAGTGTAGACCAGTTACACACTCACCTTTCCCATTGGCCCGCCTCTGGAGAGCTGGGATTGGACGGCAGCTCTGACCTCACCTCCAGTGTCGGCTGGCAGCTGTCGAGGCTCCTCTGCTCACTGAGGAGACTGTCACATTCACAATACAAAGAACAAAGCGTGAAAGAACCATGAGAAATGTTTTGTGCTGAGCCTAGCTTACTTAGCACAAAAACTGACACTGGATGGAAACTGTTAGCCTAGCAAATAGGAAAAATACACCTTGCAACAATCCAGGTGTGTCTGGTTTATGTGTTTATTAAATAGCAAGAGGAATAGAAATGGAAAGAGGAGACACAGTTGATTTAGCAACAGAGTTACCTTCTATGGCTATGCTTTTCTGTTTGGCTGTCGACACTCAGCAGACGAGGGAAAAGTCCGGAACGCCGTTTCACAGGTGATTTCACATTACACTGGTATCAAACACACCAGACTGTACAGTTATGATAGCAGTTATTATGACTGGATAATGATCACAAACACTGAATGAAAGAGACATGTTTGTTATCTGCTCACCTCGGCACTGATGTGTGCCAGACCCCCCCCACTCAGACTGGTGGGTAGGCCCGTCCCACTCCGTGACACGGTCTCCATGGAGACGCTTCGCCCTCGCATTGCCCTCTGAGAAGAACAAAAACAGTTGTAGCACCATCAGTCTGCCGTCCCTGTTTCCTGTCCACTTTTACAACCTTCTATGGAATAAAAGCAGTCAACCCAAAAAAATATAGATCAGCCTGATCATGAACTTAATGATGAAAAAATTTAATTTCACAACACTGTTTGATAGAGGAAGAAGAAAGAAACATGGGATGACAGAAATCAAGATGGAAGCTAATTTCAAAAATACAAGTAAAGTTGAAGGTAGAAGCACACCTTGATGGACTCCAGCAGGCCTCCGTGGGCGTGTCCGTTCTCAGCTCGACCCTCCTCCTCTGGACCTGATGTCAATCCCAGCATGCTCTGGGAGCGTCTCTGCAACTCATCATGGAGGCTGTCCAGAAGGGCGGCCCGGGTGCGCTCCTTCACAAACACACGTTTATTTTGAGAATTGTTACATTGTTCCCGAGCTGCAAGGCATCATCACCACAACAGCTGACCCACAGTAGGGTTCAGTTGTGACAGATGTGATTCAAGCACAGCATTTAGAAAGAAAACAAAAAAGGCCCCGAAATCAAGCCCTGTGGAACACCACCGCTGAGAAGGGTAGAGGTAGCTTCGGGAGTTTTAGTACATTTTATCAATTTGTCTTTACATTCACTAGGAAATAGAATCCCTTAAAATTATAGTATTTTATTTTAAAACCACCTTGAACCTTTCATATTCACAAGATGAAGGGGTCATGGGGTTAAAGGGCTAACAAGCTGGAGATACCTGTAACCACATGGTACCTGTACACAACAAAGATGGAGAAAGCTCGAGCCTCAAATTGCTTAGAAAATATAAATACTGAAAATGCAGGACAATTTGACTAAAATGTCTTTTGTTTTTGTGACTAAAACTAACGACACATTTTCAGGTAAAGACTAAGATAAAATCGAAATCAGGGACCAAAGTTTGCACTGCACTGATGAGAGGTGTTACTCTCAGTGCTGTGAAAAGAAGAAAAATAACAAGCAGCCTTCTGTTTCTATGCAGAGTGGACATATAAACACACAGAGGTGTTTCGACCTGATGGCCAACTGAGTGCTGAAACACTGTCAGTATCTCCTCCTCCAGGTGTGTTTACCTCTAGTCGGGCGAAGCGGTCGCTCTTGTAGCAGGCCAACTCTGCGTTGATAAGTTTAGTGAGCAGAAACTCTCTGAACTCTGGACCCTGAAAAAAAAAGCAGCTAATTTAAAATCATGGCACTTAAAGGCAGGGTTGACGATTCTTTCAGAAATATTTTTGTTACATACTGTATCTTGAAATTCTCTCTTCATCCTGATGGAAATGAAGGTATTACATACAGTAACAACATAAAGAAACAAATCTGCCACCTGTGGCAGCAGCAGGGAAAAACCATTGGACGGTCTACCTGTCTGACAACCCACTTCCTACCGGCATTCACTCTGTTCATGCATGGCCTCTCTCAGAAGGCTTTGCAATTGCAAGCAGACGTGTTGCCACTCAGTTTTTATAGCTAAAGCTAGCGAGCTATGGCAGAGAAAGTTCCCACAGCAGCTTTCATTCACAAACAGAGACTGTTGTTACAGGCCAGGCCTTCCTTTTGAGACATATGGCCTTATGAGTAATGTTGTTGTTGCCAGAAGTTGATACCTGCAGTATGAGGGTGAGAAGACCACCACATGGAGCAGACTCCTCTTACTTGCAGCCACAGGTGGGGACAGTACCACCAGCAGTCAGCTCTAAGCGTACAGATGGGATTGTAATGCAGTTAACCACATCAAAGGCCACATGCAGCGTTTCTGTTACCAAGACGGAATAAAGCCTGTGTTTTGAACAAGAGTTAGCCGGCCTCCCTCTTCACTTCTCTCTGCCAGAAAAGCCCGACTTCTAAGACCAGTTACTGGCCACAAGCTCAAAATCGAGATTCCTCCTGCTGGTTTTTCCAGGATCGCCAACCCTTCCTTTCATAAATCAAGTTTAATGGAAAAGTCCTTCTGCACCATTTCATGTCACATTTTACCAAATAACCTCAAAAACATCAACAAGGTTCTGTCTTACCTTCTTGAAGACGGATGGCTTTGGGAGGGGCGGGCCAAATGGGGGCACGTCTTCTCGTGCTGTGACAGATACCTGTCAATCACAATAGTTCCCACTGTCACTGGCAAATACAAAACCGTTGCAAATTTCTCACCATGTTTGTGATGCATCAACTGGTTCATTATGTGTCATCATGTTTCAGTGAAGAAGCACAGACAAAAGGTAAAACAAAGTCACAGAACAACATTAAGTATGTTAAAGTAAAGAAAACGTACAACAACCAGTAAGATGTTTGCTCTCAGCTGTACCTTGTAGGTGGTGTTGTCAGAGCAGGGCTCCTCCACCTGCACCAGGATGAAGGCATGCAGGAAGTTGGAGGCAATCATGTCTGGGACAAACGGCGTGGCCTCCTCTTGAAACACCACCCCCACGATGTCGTTTCCTATGTGACGTTTCCTCTGAAGCTGAAGAAGACGGAGGCATCATGTGTTACAGTGTGCCAAGTCACATCGGCCCGTCACGTGCTGCGTGAGCTTTTCATGCTGTTATGTTGTGTCACACTGAATCATGCTGTCTCATGTGTTTGTTGCATCATGCTGTTTTTCATCATGAGTAATGTGTTATACTCTGTCATGCTTTGACATTCTTGTGTTGTGTGATGGTGCTTGGTGTTGTGTGATGTTGTATTGTGCTGTTTTCGGCACTGTTTACCTGCTGTGTGTCTCCCTGTGTGAAGGGCAGTTTGGTGGAGACATGGAACATGATCTCCTGCTGTCTGTGGATGGTGTAGATGGACTGGGACCCCGTCTGACCGTGGGACACATCCAGACCCCCCCGAAACCTGCACAGAGGAGGGACCGGTTATCGTTCACCTACCTTTTGTCTTTCAGCAAGACAAAATCAAGGTCTGGATGCCAGCTGACATGATTATAACAGCAGAACCTAGGACTGCGACTAATGATTATTATCTTTGTTCTGATTCCCATCACAGAAGAACAGGAAACACCGATACCAGTGACTTGTTGCTGTTTGCATCAAAATCAGGTCTTTTCTGTTATCTGGAGTGTTGTTGCTCTATTTTCTGTCAACTGATGAGTCAAATAGTCGTTGCCCTTCTAAAAGAGAAACATTGTTGGAGTCGGTTTGTGTTGACTGACACAATGTGGCTGTGCTGAGGTGGATGATGGCTAAAACCTGGTTCCTCTGGTTTCTCTGACCCTTTGAAGTCCTGCAGCTCCACCGTGTCCCCCAGCAGCTGCAGGAACTCTGTGAAGGCTGGCGTCTCCTCGTTGTTCCTGAACAGCTCCTCCTCAGATACCTGGAGGGAGGGAGGTGACCCATCACACTCACAGCACCTTCCATTCTTAGCTACAACAATCAGCCACGTCAACGACAATCCTCACATTTGTCACACAGTCTACAGAGGAAACAGCCTTGGACATGATATCCTAGTTTTTATCTAAGGAATTTGTAATTATTTTAAGAATATGAGCATCAAGTCACCCTTGGCCAGTGTTCAGTAGCTGAAGCACACAGTCTTCACAGCCGATAGTTTTTGTAGCAGCTATAGTATCATAGCAGGAAAAACACAGCTGTAGTAAATAAAACGACGGCTCTGCTGTTCCACTGACACAACCTGTACATTAACACAACCTGTTGGTCAAAGACATTAGAGGTGGGCCCAGGCAGCCAGTACCTGTCCAAATCTCTGGTAAATGACTCCAAACTTGAAGGTGTTGTTGACCTCGTGCTCGTCATAGGCAACTATCAGCTGAGATGCCTGATGGCAGACAAACACACAAGGTTGACAAAGTCAGTCCAACATGGGCTCTTCTGACATTTGAGAGGAATATGAACGTGATGCAAGGTTCTTTGGGCTCACCTTTGGGTAGAGGACAGTAACTCCATCTTTCAACATAACACATGCAATAAGACACACACACACACACACACACACACACACACACACACACACACACACACAATGATAAAGAGTTTGCACTCGTGACAAAACAAACCAGCAACACAAACTAACTCCTAGTTTCAAGAAAACTCCATTTCTGCCTTTTTGCAGCAGTCGCTCTTCTTTGCAGAATCAGCTCTTGTCTTCTTTAAAAACCCCTTTTTTTACATTAAGCCAATTTATTTCCCTGTTTCATCTCAATATACATGTATTCTCTTAGGTGCAGATCTCGTTTGTAAAAACACTCTGGAACCTTGTTTTCAAAGGTTCTTTATATACTAAGTTTATTATTATTGTGTTTTTCTTGCACTGTCAACACGTTCAGTGAGTAACACTACAACCCTGTCAGGTCCGCTCGGCGTGACCTGCCTCTCTTTTTCTTTTTTCTCTCCTCTGTTCTCTCGACCTGCGGGATCGGCACCTCAGCTGTGTTGCATTCGGTAATTAGCGAATCGTTTGTTGGTGCACACAGCTGGGGTGCATCCCGCTGATTAACTCCTACCTTATTTATACCTCTGGCAAACGCTCTGCCGTCACCGGAGCATTAACTACTGTAAACGTGCATACCCCGTAACAGCCCCTTTTTGTCCGTGGTGTGTATAAGACGTATTTTGTTTTCCACGCTGACAGTTCCTGTGCTGTAAACCGCTGTGTTTGTTTTTTGTCCATGAGGGTAGCCAGACGTTACTTTTTGTTATCCGCGCTGACAGTTCCTGTGCTGTGGATTTCCGTTTTCGTTCGCCTATCCTCCTAGTTCAGTTTGTCTATTCACCTGTCCGTCCTGTTCCTCCTACTCTCCTGGTTTCTTGCGTCGTCCCCTGCCAGTCCTGGTCTCCGCAGTCATCACTGCCCTACTCTGGTCAATGGACTATACATATACTTAGTACTTTGTTTGCTTTTCTCCAATAAACCCCCTTTTTTTTTTTTTTTTTACTAGCACCTGGGTCAGCAGTCTTGAGTCCTACCATAGTTCTCCCTCACCCTCCTGGTGAGGGGGACTAACCATAACAAACCCTCATGTCCTGTCTGAGGGTCCTCACTGATCTAAAATGTACAAACCTCATATGTGTTTATGTGTTTACACTACATGTATTTGTTCAGGCAGCCAAATCCGGTCCTCACAGGGTAACCACTGATTATAAAACTAAGACTCGGATTTAGATTTTCAGTCTAAGTCGAGGTAAACATCTCTCAAGGTGAAAGCACAGAGCTGGGGCCTAGGCCTGTCCTGAAGTACAGACCTGGAGGAGGTGGAGCCCGCAGACTGGACACGATTATGTTTCTTGATGTGGGGTTTCTTTCATATTTAAATGTGATTTCTTGTGCCAAGTTGTGACAGTTAGTTGTGTGTTTGTGTGTACCTTGGCCAGCTCTGGTACACTGGGGATGTCAGGCAGCTCCGTCAGCGATAGCCTGTGGTACACACTCTTCATCCGAGACCTGAAGGGCACAAGAGACACAGCAGGTCAGACTCCTGACAGGTGCCACCAGGAAGTACTTGTACATGGGAGAAGAAGGGGGTAGCTGTGACGATTCGGTATACAGGTAAGGATGAATTAGAGGGGCTGCAGGTGAAACAAACAGCATGAATCCTAACAGTCAGTGATGAGGTCAGATGGAAACACAAGTGAAGACAATAGTGTGTTCCTATCATCTCTTTGTTTCCCTTGGTGGTTGTGTGTCGCTACAGCACCTGGTGCGCATGAGAATGGGCCGGACGGACAACAGCCTGGCTCCAGACACAGCTAACCAAACCTAGAAATGTACGGGTTCAGTGTCTGAACAGTATACGTGCAAACAGGCAGCCCAGATGTTACGGCTCAGCACTCAGGAATGGACCCTGCTCACTCTCAGACTGATCGTCATACAGGGTCCAGCGTAGAATAAGACCCAGTGGGAACTGTTAAAGCTGTCTGGTCACCACGGACAGCACCTGTCATGATTACTGATGTGAAAAAATAGAAAAAATCTCAACTGATTTGTGAAACAAGACTTTTGAATGAACTCCCAGATCTGAGTCACTTTAACTCTGAGGAATTTAACAGAAATGAAAGTTGGACAAACTTTACTGAAGCTTGTTGCCTTTCTTCAACCTTTCTATTTTTATAGTGCAGGTGTGACATACCAGCAGGTCAGGGATCAGCTCCTGTGCTGAGACCTGTGTCCGTGTGATCACGTATGTGTGTGTGTACCTGATGATGACGTGGAGGTGCTCCCGATCCCGCTCCTCCTCGTGCTTCACTGACAGCAGCAGGTTTCCCAGACCACTAGCTGAACAGGAGAAGTTCAGATGCTCCTGAGAGAGAATCACAGAGACTTTTAACATGTCCTCATCTTGACAATTTATATACTGGTGCTTTCTGAATTGGAGTCAGTCGGAGCCAGCATCTAGCGGCTGTCAGTGGCCTCGAGCTTTCAGACACCTCTACGCTGGAGCGAGCCTCCAGCCCTGGGGGCTTCCGCCCGGTTTACATCTGGTCAAACTAACCAACATGCAGGAGGTTTACTTCCACCCTGACACCACACCACACTCCTCACCCTGCCCAAGAAGTACTTCCTGTATGCCCGTGCAGCCTCGTTGATCATCTCCAGGTGGTACCCATAATCCCCTGGGGGGTTGTCTTCCTCCTCTCTTCCTCCCAATGCTCCTCCCCCCTCCTCCTCCCCTCTGCGCTCTAGGGAGGTGGGAGCAGGAGCCTCGGGATCCTCAATCCAGTAACCTCCAAACTCCGGCAGGATGACCTGAGGGTACGGACCCCCCCTCTCCAGCACCTGCAACATACACATTCGTGTCTATACTTGTGAGGACTCGTACATGTTACAGTCACTGCTCCTTCCTTCATACACATTGGACTCATGTTGACCTAATGAAAAACATTTAATATAGCTCATCACTAATTCTCATCAAAAAACGTCTCATGCAGCTAATTTGTCAGGTTATTGCCCTGTATTGTTGTAAATAAAGTGTTAGATGAGCGAGATTGTTTTGGAAAATATGCTGAAGAAAACAAACCCAATTTTTTTTTATGTTTGTCTGAGACGCAAAAGCAAAGCAGGAACTTTTTGGAAAATCTGTAACACGGGCATCATTCCTCCATCATTTAAAGTTTGCAACTTGTTTGTTAAACTAAATTTGGTCTAGAGAGGCAAAGCCCTTTTCTGTCGCATCTGAACCAGAATTACAGCTTTGTGGTTGTGTGCCTCAGCCAACCAGTCATATTCACAGGTGTGGGCCAGAAATGAGGTCATTGACCTTTAACCTTTGACCACCAAAATCTAATCAGTTCACCACTGAGTCAAAGTGGAACCTTGAGCCAAATTTGAAGAAACTCCCTCAAGGCGTTCCTGACATATTCAATTCAATTCAGTTTTATTTGTACAGCACCAAAAGTCATCTCAGGACACTTTACAAAGTAAAGACCTTACTATTATTATTATTATAGAGGAAAAACCCAATATATCATGTTCACAAGAATGGGCCCTACAGACGGACGGACAACCTGAAAACATAACGCCTCTGGCTGCGGCTGTTGTGTCTGTTATTATGGTATTTTGGTCTGTGTCTCTCACCCAGTGAACCTCCCCCTCCTCTCCTTCACTGAAACACTACCTCCCTCTCTCATATGAAATGAAACTCCTGAGCCAATGTGTTTTGCTGTGAAACAAGTGTGATGCCATGGGTTCTCACCTCCTCAATCCTCGGGTAGGGGATGTAATCGCCCTGAAAGAGAAGGACAGAAGTTACATCACAGAATATGCCCACATATGGGTGACTGAGGTGCACGAGTGATTGTACTGAACATGACGGTATGGATGTAGCTGCTGTCACACAAACACATATGTACTGTAACATACATCTAAAACATGTAACCTTGGATTTCTTGTCTAAAACCTGGTGAGAAAAAGCAGCTTTAAATGCTAAAAACAAAGACCCTAACCCACCCTAACCCTGTTTCTGCCTGAACATGAGCAAATGAATGAAATGAAGCAATGAAAAGCAATTAGGGGATGAGGACAGGCAGACAGACGGACATGCCTTCTGTCTCTGAGGGGCTGTCTTCATCTCACCAGCTTCTGGCACCTGCTGCGTCAGCGTCACACAGAAAAGATAGTATTAAAATTGTCTCTTGAGCTGAAGACGCACATCTGTCAAAACACCTTGGATATATATTTTCAAGCATTTCCTAAAGCAGCTGCTCTCTGTGCATGTGTCAGTGACTATTTTTTGCAGCGGATGAATCCACAGTTGGTATCTAGTGAGTATGTGTGGCAGCAGGACAGTGTGTGTGGGTCTGGGTCAGACCCCAGTGTGTGTGTGACCACTGTCCTACCAGGTACTGAGCCGGAGCCCTGGACGTCCAGAACAACAAACAGCCACTGAAATGTGAATATTCTATCTTTTCTTGGTGACAGTGAGTATTTCCTTACTATTTTCTGACTTTTGACTCCCTGAATATTTAAACAATTATTAAAGAAAGTAACGATCAGATAAATTGTTACTGCACAAAAAATGTTGGATGACAATGATTTAGGTAGTGCTGAAAAAAGGTTTAACCTTTGTCTGGAGGTTTTAAAAGAGGCCACAGGCGTCAGCTGGGCTTGAAAGCCTCCGTCCACCACAGACCGTCAGGAGGGGGAGAAACACTGCTGTTTCAGCCTGAACTCCATCTGACTCTGCTTGAAGCTACATGAATATTGGATGAGTTCAGCTGCTGCTGTTTGTCGGAGGAGATGATGGAGGCATCTAATTTAGCAGAAAACATGTTCACACAGGAACAATAAGCTCCTGTTTGATGCCTTATTCAATCAGCCACACAGCGGCTCCTTCTGCAGCTGTGCCGGGATGAACAGCAGACAGCTGAAGAATCAGCTCAGATGAACCTCGCACCTCCACTCTATTTGTCCTGTTAGTTCCCTTACAGGGAGACGTGTAGACATGGCTGGTTTTTGTACCTTTTGTAATCAACATAACAAATGTCTTAACTGTCATGTGGTAAAAGCCTTCTGGACAAAAGTTGCAAACCATATTTTCTGTTTATTCATTTTTCAGTCACAGTAAGAAACTCTTTAATTTTATCCTCAATGTGCGTATTTTGATGGTCACATTTCATGTTCACAATCGACAGCTGTCTAAACCAGTCATTACTTTAGTGCCTGTGTGAGGTCCACAGCCTCTTGCTCTCTTTAACCCTTGTAAAGTACTGCTGAGAGCCTCGCTGCCATCTCGACAGATCACTCATCAAATGCTGTGACTGGTTTGATTTACTGGCTCTTCTCCACTCCTATTTTTTTTTGTATTGTCTCAATAATGTGTTTAACTCTGGCATCTTTCCTGATAGCTTGACTATACACTCAACTTTGTGCCTTAATGTGTATATTTGTTAAATATCAATAAAGTTTTGTTTAAAAAATTAACTCCTTACCTCCATCTTGTCCATCAGGTCAAAGAAATGAGCTGACTGGAGACAGAGAGAGGTGTTAATGTTGGGCTTTACTATGATCGATACCAGCAGCAGCAACACAGCTCACGGACGACATTAAAGTAGCCCGTTTAAATCCCTGAACACCCAAATGCTGCTGTTTGTGTCAAAACCCAGTTGCAGTTCAGTGTAATGTGAACACACAGACATGGTGCACACAGCTTTAGATTCAGTGTGACTTATGCTTCCTGAGGAGGTCATGATCTCTGATGTCTGCTGCAAAGAAACCTCCATAAACACAAAAAAATCAGAGAAAACATGCAGAATTGACCTGAGAATCATCAGAGTTTTGGCTTTTGTGCACACACTCTTGTATTAGTACTGTTCATGTGCATGTATGTGTGTGTTACCTTCGTGGTGGGGGGTGCGGTGTGGGGTGGAGAGGGCGGGCAGTCTGCCACAGGGACATTGGAGGTGGTCAGGAGCTCCTGTTTGCTGAGAAGAAGGACAAAGGTTGTGTGCATCACCATGTGAATCAACTGCAGTCGCCGCCCTCCCTGTATCACCTCTGTCACACGACGTAATAAACCTCCCCTCTCGCCCCGTGTCACTGTGTGTCCGTGTGTCCATGTGACTGTGTGATGTGTGACGCACATCATCATTACATCTGCCACAGGGTGAGTCTGGCTCTAATGGTCCAGTCTGTCAGGAGCCTCCACACATTCAGCTGTGAGTGACTTCTCACGCTGTAACTGGCTGCACCACCCAGCCAGAAGAACATCCACCTCTTTCGCCCTCAGGCACCCCCCCCCAACCACCTCCTCTGTTGCCATGGTTTCCTCAGGTGTCCATGAAGAAGAAGACACGACCTGGGTGGAACTGTCAGACTGGTTTCGATTCAGACTCAGACTTAAATGATGTACTCGGTGATTTTCTCTGTGTTCCTGTGCACAACCCCATCCAGAGACCAGCAGCACCAGTGAACGTGGTGTCGCACTCCAGCAACAAAACAAGGATGTGCTCCAGCATCGAGGGTTTCTCGTTGTTTATTAAGGTCAAAGACAAAGTTCGACTTTACTGTTGTAGGTGCTGCCTCCAGAAAATCCTGGGCTCCATGACTTCCATTCAACATGCACCAACTTCTCTGTAGAAATACTAAGACTGGCAAATGAACTGAAGGTGTGCACATACTGCCCATGTGACAATCTTCTGTGCATCTCACAGCTCTTTCCATTTCCTGGTCAGGTTTGAACAACCCCTTGACCTTTCCTCTGGAGCCACCCATAGGACAAATGTTGCACCCCTTGCTCCACTACTGCTGAGACTGGTCACCGGTATGTTTGCTGGTCTATGCCTTATTGCTGTGGCTGTGATGAACACCACAGGACGCTGGTGAGACTGTAGACTGCTGGGGCGGCAGCTCTCAGGTTTTGCCATCGCACACGCTGACAGCTGCAGGCTCACACTGCATTAACATTCATGAATCTGTGTGCTTACTGACTTTTTAGAAACACGTTTTTCCCCCACCTACAGGGACGTTCTCTGCAGCTACACGGCCTTTTTCCAGAGGCTCATTACACTCATCAGATGGCAAGTGACACGCATTTGTCAACAACAGCATAAAAACCAAATGCAGTGACAACAACATCATAAACAGCAGCAGCAGCAGCGGGGTGAGGAGAGACACTGCTGTTTGTCGGCAGACGGAGTGTCTGCCCTTTAGCTGTGCGCGAACACACACACACACACACACACACACACACACACACACACACACACACACACACACACCAAGCTTAATATTTTCTGGGGAAATGTGATCTGACTAATGTGTGAAGTTGCAGAAATAATAGTGTTTGAAATCTGTCCTTTTCTTGGAGGATTCTAACTGGACTTATGAACTACAGTATCTGTCTACAGTATCTGTCTGTCTGTCCATCCATCCATCCATCCATATAGCGCCTTACTGTGTGTGTTAACATTCTGGACTGGTGTGATTTACTTTCCTTCAGCCTTCGTTAAACATGTCAGCATGAGGCTGTGCAGATGATTTATTTCCTACCAGCGTCAGGTTGCTGCTGTCTCTCTTTATGTTGTTGGGTAAAACTATCTGCAGACAAATATCTAATCCAACAGTGCTGCAGTAAATCCTCCTTCATGAAGGTGATGATGCTCGGTTTGTGTTCAGACGGTTTAGCCTGGCCTCCCTGTTTTAAATGGGGTGGACATAACACCAGAACCAGCTCTCACTAGAACCCAGTCCAGCTGAACAGCAGCACAACCTGCAGCCTCCACAGTGACCACACAGGTGAACCAGCACCTCTGTGAAGACAGCAGGAACACAGACTGACTTAGATTGTGCTAGGTGTTCTGAATAAACTGACAACTGACTGAGTCTGAATACACAACACATAGTAGCATTAGATATTTGCGATCAAAAATACAAACATGCAGCCTGATTTTAACGGTTACATATTTCATTGGTTGGATTTAAATGCCACATAAATGCAAGAAAATAATTTCAGTCCCATTTCAGAAACACAGACATAGACAGAGGATGGTGGAAAAGCCAGACTCACCAGTGGCTGTGTGGCATTGTTGCTTTGCCGTCGGTTACTGAGCATCTCGCTCAAATCTAAAACACCAGCACGCCTCTCTCTGCCTCTCTCTCTCATCATGTCAGGGACCATCAGGATTAGAGCGCCTTGATCTCTCAGAAAGAGAGGGAGAGAGGCAGATGGAGGAAACCAGGAACACTGAGCGGATAAAGAAAAGAGACAGAGAGAGAGGACAGAGAGAGAGGACAGCCAGAGCAGCGACAGGAGAGAACGATACTGCTGCCAACTGTTTCATAGTTTGTGTTTATGTGGAAGATTTAAATGTAGATTCACAATGGGCCAGATTCAGCTGAATCAAATGTTGTCACGTTGGCTATTATCAGTCATTATCACAACCATAAATATGAATGAGGAGGCACCTCCTGCACCTTCTAGTGTGGAAACTTTCTAAGAAGGTAACCTCTAGTGGCCATGGTAATCAATCAATCAAACTTTATTGCCAAGTATTATTAAAACTCATAGAATTTGATTCCATGTCAATGGCTACCAATGCGCACAAATAAACAGAATAAAAAGAGATCAAAAGCAAACCAGATAATATGTATATATATAAAAGATTAAAATAAGTAAAATGATTACTGTAATGTTTGCTTTATCTTGTTATATGTATATAAACATGGGTTAAGTGTTCATCAGATGACCGTTGTCTCATCTGGGAACTTCAGGATTTTACCAGAGGGCTCCTCTGAGGTGCAGTCGTTAGTGTAGAGTGAAAACAGCAGAAGGGAGAGCACACATCCCTGGGGGGCGCCTGTGCTAATTGTCCAGGTGCTGGATGTGGTTTTCCCCAGCCTCTCTCTCTGTCAGAAAGTTGCCTGTCAGAAAGCTGGTGATCCACTGACAAGTGGGGGTAGGCACGGTGAGCTGGGTCAGTTTGGAACGGAGGATGTCTAAGATGATGGTGTTGAACAACGAGCTGAAGTCCATTAAGAGGGCCCGTGAATGAGTTCCTGGGGAGTCGAGATGTTGCAGGATGTAATGCAGTGCCATGTTGACTGCATTACACTGCAAAACACTGAGAAACTGAGTATTCTGTCCACAGATCGTGACATCTTGTATGTGCCATGTTGTTATATGGTTGCTTTTGTCCTAATGCAAGTGTGCTGATGTGACCTCACACAGAATTGTGGGAAATCAGACCATGGACTTGCTGACACTGCAGATAGTCCTCCAAAGTTTCTGACCTGCCACAGATCCCTCCAGTCATCCAGGAGCTGGGTCATTGGTCGTTCAGGTGATTAACCTGCGGTGGGGCCCTGCTCACACTGCACCTCAAAGAATCTGTCCAAAGTTTGGTCCAATTCTAAAAGTAGCCAGGGGTGATCAACTCGGGCCTAAAATCAAGATGAATCCGCACAGCGTCTGCCCGGCCCGAGACGTTCTTAAAAAGTTGACAAGAAGAAAAATATGAAATGTCTACAAACTGCATCAAGGATCTCGTTTTATGCTCCATTTTCTGTTTCACACCACTTCTAGCAAACAGATTGTGTTTCTTGGTGTATCCTGCATGTTAACAAGGGTTTAGATAGTTCAAGGTCCATTGCTAATAATCCTCCACAAACCCAGTGAGAGACCAGAGGAGAAGAGGCTGCAGGACCTGCCTGATAATCCTCCCAGGTTTCCTTCAGTGCCCCAGTGATTCAGTGGCGGGGATCATTGGCCAAAGGCAAAAAAGAGGGTCCACGGTCAAAACAAAGACATTTCCTTGCATTCAGTCTAAACCTGTATAACCTCGTTCCACTACTTTAGTGTGCAGAGGTGGATGATGTGTAGAAATCTGAACTGAACACAAGGAAACATCTCAACAAAACACACAACCTCTCGACAACTGGTGTCTGAGCAGAGCCTGAGGACAACTGCCTGCTGGTGTTTAAAAATAGTCCTGTAATAAAACATTTTCATTTCAGAAAGGCAACAACTAACCATTACATTCAAAACCTTATTAACCTAAATGCACAACAACCAGCTCAGCCTTTGCACAGATTCACTGCTGCTACAGGGAAACAATGTTAAGGAGGAGTCTTCTCTTATTTACCATCTCAGAAAATCACTTGTTTAAATAAGAGAAATGTAGGAAATAAACCGATGTTCTAAGCTAGCTCTCGGGTTGTTGAATCTGAGTTTTCACAGTCTTCCACTACTGATGCTTTTAATTTGAAGACAACTGCTCAGGGATCAGTGTCTCTCTCGCCTCTCGTCTTATATATTGTTATCCATCTCTTTCCTTTGTCCCAGTGAAGCTTAAACGGGTCTTTCATATGACTCACTCACATGACGGCGCCGTTACTCACCGAGCTCTCAGCGCGCTGACCGTGGACTTATCGATCCTGCAGAGACAGAGAGAGAGACACGCTGTCAACACCACAGGAATATGGAGACGTTGCTGCGGCTGGAGATTTACTGCACTCTATTAACCTTAGAGAGAGGTGTGAGCTCCGAGGTTCTCAGCAATAAAAGCACCATTTATTAAAGTGCTGCAGCAACAGTAAATCACACATTTACATCAAGACAATAAATCACAAAAACATATGAAATAAATGTTCAGACAAACTGGTTCATCTCTGGTGCTGCGACTACAGCGGTTTGCATCATGTTCATATTGAATAGATTCAGCTAAGTGTCAGAAAATAGTCTGGTTGTGTGACCGACCGTCCAAAAATATTCAGTTTATTTCAGTGGTATCGTCTCATTAAATGGTCATTATCTGTTGTGATCACGCCCACAATTATGCTTCAATAATGGAAAACGACACCGTGATGAGACGGCCACTAGTGAGTAGTAATTATGTGTGTGTGTGTGCCTTTGTATTTCTTACATTATGGGGACCGAAACCTGATAACACACTCACACTGAATTGTAGGGTGGCAACATAGTTTAAGGTTAGGGTCAGGTAAGTAGTGGTTATGGTTAGGGTTAGGATAAGTCTACAGGAAATGAATGTAAGTCAATATAATGTCCCCACAAGGAATGAAAACAAAGCATGTGTGTGTGTGTGTGTGTGTGTGTGTGTTGGGGGGGAGGGGGGCAAAGCCAAAAAAACCCCAAATCTTTTACTGAGGTTGAAGAGTCAACACACACCTCATCATATAATCATATATTTACACAAGTAGATTTACTAAATTAACATTAACCACAATAACATCAGCAGGATGATAAATGCTGCAGGACTGAACCAGTGAAAATCATGCTGTTGTTCAGAATGAATACTGCAGTATTTGATATATATTTATATTTTGTGCCACTGGTGCCTTGAATTGCACAAGAACACATCACTTCCTGTCTTTTAGCTGAATGTCTCTACTAATGTTCAGTTTACAAAAACAATCTCTCTGGAGAACTTTAAAGAATATAGTAAGAGTTAGTATTCTCTGACACGGTTTAATTTCACAAGAGGTTGTGGAATTAAACCGAAAGGCAGAGGGAACATTGTAAGTGGAGGATTTAATATAAACTGTTCCTGCAGCTGCCCAAAGCTGCTCCTGCATTATTAAATACTGCAACTCTATGAGTCGGCTCAGTCTAAACACTGGGAGGATGGAGGTATAGACTCTGAGGGTTACAGCATGATGAGCGATGAGAAGAGAAAAGAATGGCCGAAGGCAAATATAAAGGAATAATGAAGGGAGAGGAGGAGATGCTGAACAAGGAGGTACAGAAGGAAAGATCGGGGTGTGGAAGGAAACAGGAGCAACGAAGAAAGGACAAAAGAACTAAGAATATATGGAAGGACATAAGGATGGATGGATGTGGAAAGAACGAAGAAGGTATATAGAGAATAGGACAGAAAAAGAGAAGGCATCACAGTAGGAAATAAGGATGTACAGATGGAGATAACGTATGGAAAGTAAAAATATAACAAAAATATGGACACAGAAGGAAAGAAGGAGGTATGGAAGGGAATACAACTGTATAAGGGAGGAAGGGTGTGTAAGGAATACAATGACAGAAACAAGAAATAGGTAGAAACAGGACAGAATGAAAAATGGAAGGAAAGAAGGGTGGAGCTATAAAAGGGAATAATGATAGGAGAGAAGGAGCAATGGCAGGAAATAAGAGAAAATTAAATCACATTCACTCATAACTTAACCACTTCTGATCTTCATCCATTATTTGTCAGAACAAAAGACATAATTGTGTTCTCGATTTAAAATCATTTTTGGAGTGAGACACCCTGAGGCCGTTGTCTCGTCACCCCTCAGTTACAGGTGTCCACTAAATGTATCAGGTAAACGTCACCGTTTGCTTTAGCTCACACAGGCACAGACCAGTTCATCTGATCATCTCCAGTTACAACCATAAAGCCACAAAATGTATTTCACAGAGAAACAAGTAGAAAGTATTCCTTTAACTAGACAAACAGTAAACCTGACTACAAGTGAAGATTTTTTTCAGAAAAAGCAAAACTTTTCTGTTGCAATAAACCAAAACCATGTGTTAAAGTGGCTCCATGTGTAATTTACTCATGGGTTAAATGATTAATCCTGCCTTGAAACAGTTTCTTCATATCTTGCACAGCAGTGTAACGGCACTATTTTATATTTTTGTTTTCATTTATGCTTTATTTTAGCTTCATAAAATCTTTTTGGTTTCCATTTATATTGCCTTTGTGTTTCTTTAATAACTTTGTCATCTGTCTTGTGCAAAGCCCTGGTGCTGAAAGGTGCCACTGGCATTCCTTTTAAACAGAACAATGTTTGCGTGAACAGACGCCTGCAGTCAACCTTTTGTGTTATAAAACCAGAGAAAGTCGTTTATTAACTGCAGCAGCAAAAGGGTTTTGTTCTCCATCAGTCAAGTGGAAACAGAGACACAGGCACTTGAGAGGAAACGGATCTCACACTGACACAGAATTCACTCAGTGGGAACACGACACATCAACTACAATGGAACCTGGAACGTTTTCAACCAAACCCCATTCAGAAAAATGCCACTTTTAACTCCAGCTAAGTTTATTAGCACATCCTCTCATCCTGAGCCACAGCAGAGCTGAAAACAAAAGATTTTGATTTTTTCGGGGGTGCTGATGCAACCGTGACATCACCGTGATGTCACTTCAGCACCGCTCAGACTGGAAATGAACTCAAAGACCCCAGTGAGACAGTGATGAGCTCATTCAGACATTTATCAGAGGATGAAGCACACGTTCATTCACACACTCTTACCATCCGAAGCCTCCAAACGACACGCTCCTCTTCCTCCTCAGCATGGTCTCTCACTCTCCTCTCTTTGTCTTCCTTTTCTCCTTATTGTGTCTGGATTGTCCTCTCTCTCTCTCTCTCTCTCTCTCTCTCTCCTCCGCCCTTTCCTGTTGTTCTATCTCCTCATCTCTCCACCTATAAATACTCACATCTCTGCCGGAGCTCTTACTGCCTCCCTCGCTCTCTCTCTCTCTCTTCATCCTCCCGCCGTCTCCTGCTGTTAATGTTTCTCTCGTTCTCCCACTTCAATTCACTGCACGCACAGCCAACAAATAGAGAGAGAGAGAGAGAGAGAGAAAGAGAGAGTGAGAGAGAGACAAAGAGAGAATGCTACCAGAGGTTTGCATGGTGCCCCCTCTCTCTAGCGCCCTGACAAAGCAGAAAGGTGGCGGAGACGCTGTCAGTCTGAAAACTTATCATACATAATAAATGGAGATAAAAGGATGGATACACGGTCATTTACTGGACTTTGTTATGCAACCATGGCTCAGCACAAGCTGGAGCTACAGCCTGAACTCACACAAAAATGTGTGTTTTAATTTGTGTGGCAAAAAAACCAAAAAAAAAACAGGAGCTAAGAGAATGAAATCTACAAGAGCAGGGGGAAAACGATAGCAAGCACAGAGATGAATCCATTATTCAGCCGATAAAAAACGCAGCCTGTTCAGTTCTGCAGAATGAAACATGCCTGTTGTAATGTTGCAGAGCCTGAGGTGAAGTTTTCCATTATCCAGTCAACCAAACCAAGAGAATCTACCTGAAGACAAGACCAAGACTGGGTACAGAACAGGGTACATCTGTACACCAATGCTCCCCATCCAACCTGATGGAGCTTGAGAGGTATTGCGAAGAAGAATGGGAGAAACGGCCTGAGAATAGTTGTGCCAAGCTTGTAGCATCATACTCAAAAAGACTTGAGGCTGTAATTGGTGCTAAAGGTGCTTCAACAAAGTACTGAGCAGAGGCTGTGAATACTTATGTGCATGTGATTTTTTTTTTTCCGTTTTTTTTTTCCGTTGTCACTATGGAGTATTATGTGTATAATTTTGAGGACAATAATGAATTTAATCCATTTTTGAATAAGGCTGTAACCTAACAAAATGTGGAAAAAGGTAAGCACTGTGAGGATTGGGGCCGTCAAAAGACACATACATCAGCTCTGAGGAGGCTGCTGCAGGAGCCAGGATACAGGAGAGCATCCTTCCTAGAAGCCTTTTATGGTTCGACACGCCCCTTTATCAGAAATCAGCTGGGGATTGGACGTTTCAGAGGAAGGATCAGAGGACTGGACATGGCGTTCAGCTGCAGGGGAGACTTTGGACTAATGTCCTTATGCAGCCTGGGTAAAATGTAAACTGCCGTTATATTCAAACATTTAAACTGACGTGAAGGCCTCCAACTGTCCAGGTGGTTAATACATCACTGCGCTGACTTGTGATGGAACATTTTTGTGCCAGCACAAACATACAAAATGCCAGAGGAAATAATTTCTACACTGACTAAAGGCTGAAGCAACAAGACAATGTAAGACACAGCGAGTGGGTGCACGTTAGCGTGTGTGAACCACAATGCTATGCAGCAGTGATTTTTCCTCCAGTTCAGGAGTTCTCGGGTTTAATTGTCTGTGAAAATCGTCTGGCAGCTCCACAGCTGAATACATTTACATAAAATTACCGGTGAAGGGATCATGGAAAACCCGATTTGCAGAGACTAAAGTGTGACTAAAGTCACATTTTACACATGGAGGTGAAGCTGATGTTGACCTCTTTCCTACCATTAAGAAACATAAGCAGGCCTGTAAAGTGCTGCTAGCGCACCCTAGAGGCTGTGCTGTTCCTTACAGCCACATATAAACAACACTGGGATAATTTACCAGTTTTTAGTATTTTTCTGTAGCTAAAAATATATATAGCATTTGTCCTCAGGGTAGTTAAGGATCACTAAAATCTAAAGGGATCATCCTCTGAGAGCAAGAATGTAGTTAGGGGGCTCTAGCAGAGGAGAGTCAGAACACTGCTGTGATCCATTTTCAGTTGTTTTTCTGTGGCCGGGGACGGAGCCTTTGTGTGGAGTATAGTCATGTTGTCCACTGCAGCCCACGCAGCAGACTGAACATCAGGCACATGGGAAAGGCCTGTTAAGCCACCGATTTACTTGCTATTAACTAGCTTCCTTGAACATTGACATGGTTTGTGTTAACACTGTGTAAAAGCTGAGGCTGAAAGGAAGATACTCAGTTTTCATTGAGGAATGATGAGGTGAGCACCTTACCAGAGCTGGGCATACAAATGACTGTTATTATCTAGTGTGAGTCAAACTCCAAAACACTAGATCTACATTTCCCACAATGCATGTGGATAATGTCTTTCCCCGGAGCCTCGGCCACATCTTTCAAACTCCACACCTCTAGTTCGTAATGCTGCATGTTTGATGTTTGTCATGTCCACAGCAGCTGGTCTGATGTCTCACACACTGAACCACGTGAATGACATGCAGCAGTGCCATGAAACACCATGTGGTCGTGCACAGACCATATGTGTAGAGCTGTGTGATGCCTCAGCTCAGCCAGGACAAACAGGCAGAGAGAGGTTCAGTTTTGAAGAGACACACCACAGAAAACAGAGGACAGAAAACAGAGCACACAAACAATGCAGTACGTATTCTGTCAAATCAAAGACACACAAACAGATGGAGCGTTTGTGTAGTGGAAGAACTGGGACAGAGCAGGTGGCCACCACACAAACAATATCAGCTCACTGTGAAGTCACTTGGCTTAGTCCCGATCGCTGTAGGAATGGCCCAAAATAATATAGGCAAGCTAGTTTTATTTATTGAACACATTTGATAGCAAGAGGCAGCCCGAGGAGCTTCACAGGCTGCACAGTCACAGCTCAGACAGCAAACACAGAAACAAGTCCTTTCAGCTGCTACTCCTGAACAGTGTTAACACAAACCAGGACAACGCTCAAGTAAGTTTGATTAAAACAAGTAAATCATGGTTTAACAGGCCTTTCCCATGTACCTGATGCTCAGTCTGCTGTGGGGGCTGCAGTGGACAACATCACTACCTGACTGTACCCCACACACATCCCTGTACACAGAAATAGAACTGAAAATGGATCACACGTTGCTCTGACTGAAAACCCTCCACTACAACACCCCCAGTGCCTAATGGATAAGGTTTAAAACCCACCCCTGCTATCTCAGTTTGACCACTCAAAAGCCTCAAATTAGGTGTGTGAGTTTGTGACTAGCTAGCAGCCTTCTTGGCAGACACCAACTGAATGCACGCCCAGTACAAGCTGGACTCTAATTCTGAGCTGCAGTGACGGAGCCCGTAAAACCATCGACAGTTAGGAGTTCAGTCCACAATCAAATGATCTTGTGCATGTAAAATCTGGTGTTGACCATCATGAAGGCTGCAGACTCCCTCAGTTTGTTAGAAATTTGGAAAGTCTGAAACAGTACAACAATATGTAGAACTATGTAATCTGTAGAAATATCTATGTGATAATTATCACATTAATGTAGACTCTGACCCTGAGGGGATCCAGTAGGCACAATCGCTCAGTTTTTCCAGTGATCTGATTGGTTGGTGCTCAAGGTGTGGACAGATTTTGATCCAATCTGTTAAGTTAAAAGGGCAAGTACACAAAAATAGCTTTTTTACTGTAATGAGAATAAGCAATTGTTACTTCCATCTTATGTATATCTAATAAGTCCATATAGCTCAAACTAAATAAGTGTAATTCAAAAGACCTGCAATAAATCTGCTTCATACAGTTGATAATGTTCAACCTGTGTTGTGTACAAACTATTTCAGAAGTGTGTTGATTCAACCGGGTGCTCGCCCTGGGGAACGGAGTATGTCAACAACACAAAACACAATAATAAAGATCGCTGCGAGCAGGGTTCGAACCTGCGCGGGGAGACCCCATTGGATTTCAAGTCCAACGCCTTAACCACTCGGCCATCGCAGCTTACGTCAAACATACCTTTTACCATCCTACTTATTGCTCAGACGCCCACCTTATATGAATGAGTTACGTGACTAACGTTAGCATCTCCTATCCGTTTCAGAAGCTGATAGGCTTAACGATGATAAACACACGCTGGTATGGGTGATACAGGACAGTCGTGGATGGCTATTTAATATATTAGGTCTTAATATAAAGATGATTACTGGGCGGTAGGTGGACGTCTCAGCAAATGTTCGGGGGTATTTTCGTCAATGTAAGGTAGATGTAAAGTAACAGAACAAGACTTTGTCCGACAAAGTGAGGGAAACTCTCATTCAATGCAATCCGTGTAAGAAGCAAGATGGCGCGCTCCACTGTTGCTCAGTGCTGCCACACTCCGCTGGTGGCCAGAAGCGGCATTACAAACATATGACATTTTTGGGCAGCACGTAGCTATTCTCCAGCACGACTCAAAGGCACTCACTGAACTTGGATCCTTACAGGTATCCATACTTCTGAGATTAAAGTCACAATTCTGAGAAAAAAAGTTAGAAATCTGAGATAAAAGTCAGAATTAAAAAAAAAATGCAGTGGCCCGTACTTTACTTTCTTTTTCCAGAAGTGGTTAATTTGTCTGCTTCTGTCTTTGAGCTTCATCACAGCTCTGTCTGTGGACATTTCTTCACTTTCGCTTCAAATGTACATATCAACACTGTTATGACCGGTGAAGCTCTCTCCTTCTCCCTAGTGTCCTGTTCAAATTTTGACAAGTGTAACAACTGAGATAAATACACAAAACTGTTTATAAGCAGTCCCATAACACCGAGCAAACAGGAAACCAATGTTGGAAAAGAAGAACGTAAAAGCACGGCCACAGAGCTCAGTGGAAAAACAAGACCACCACCTCAGGGAGGTAAACTGCAGGGAGAGACAGTACAACTCAGCAATGTCCTGAACTAAAGGGAGAAGGTGAGCATGTTTTAGCTACTTTGGTATTTTTAGACAACTGAATTCGTTGAAAACATCTGTGAAGCTCAGTTGTAAACACAAGATAGAGGAGTTTGTTGTTCCTGAATGTACACTAATGGTCCAAAAGCTTTGCAGGCAGAGGTAAGAGATGAATTAAAAGGAATTCCTCCTGGTCTCTTGTAATCATGAGGAGAACCTGTTTTAGTTCAGTCTGAATGAACACGCGTGTTTGGCCAGAACAGGCCAAGACCAAAACAGATGTGCCACTGTTTCACAAATTCTTTCCTTGTGTGTCCTCCTTTAAAAAGCCGTCTTGCTACCAAATGGTCTGCAAGATGCACCAGCTTCATATTTACACAGTTCCCAGTCAGAGTCATACACATTTTCGGCCCTGGTCTTTTCCCAGGAAATACTGATAACATGAATGCAGGCAGACACAGAGAGAAAACCCGAGGCCGAGGATTCAGCTCCACAGTGACCTGAAGCAAACAGCGGAGACACTGCAGCGGCTTCAGGACCAGGCTCTGAATGTCCCCGAGGGGCCAGCCATTGAAAATGTTACTTAAGTAAAAGTACAAAAGTATTAGCATCAAAATATACTTCAAGTACCAGAAGTAAAAGCAGTCATTACATAGAAGGGCCCATTTTACATTGATTATTGATGCATTATTTTTTCATCACTTTAATGTGGAGCTAATTAAATTAGCTTATATACTATCATTGGAACTAACACTGGGTAGTTAGTGAATTTCCTACTGGGGATCAATAAACTCTTTTATTCTACTGTAGGGTTAAGGTTTTTGTGTAATTAATCTGATTCTGAAAAATAACTAGTAACTGAAGTTAGCAATAAATGTAATGGAGTAAAAGTACTTTTTGCCCCTAAAATGTAGCAGCTGAAGTGCAAAGTAGCAGAAAATGAAAATAGGTGAGTAACATGCCAATACCTTACAATCATACTTAAGTACTGTGCCTGAGTAAATGTACTTAGTGTAGTTACTTTCCATGTGTTTCAAGGCAGATTCAAGGCCAAGTGACGTGACAGTACCCACAACAACAGTTACCTGCAGTCCATGCTACACACCGCAGACAAACCTGCCGACGTACCCCAGACAGCTCGTCTGGTCCGTTTACTGAACTGCCATCATTAAATGAGGCACTGGGGTCTGGGAGGACCCCACAGGGAAGAGCTCAGCCACTGCTCCTTATGACTCTTCTTTGAGGGCTAAAACAAAGGAGCACGTGAAAACAAGAGGCAGGGAAACATAAGACACAGTACTGGACCACCCTTGAGGACTTCTGTAGAGAGGTGAAGAGCCCTGAGGAGTCTCGCCCAGCTCCCGACCAGTGTGACGGGGCCCAAGAGGATCTGCAGGAAGAAAGGGATCAGCTACATAAGTCCAGGAATGAAGCACATGTAGAGGCTTGCACATGAAGGACTGAAGCTGTGAGTGTTGCTGAAGGAGCTTCTACTCAAGACTGAATGAGGCGCTAGACACTTTTAAGAAGTAGAAGCTTCAGTTTTAATAAATTTAGGGACATTTCTTCCAGCATGTTTCCACTGTGTGAGCGTCGACTGATGGTAGAGGATGAAACATAATGAAGTGCAAAAAGTGAAGGAGTCAACACTTTCTGCACTCTACATAAGTACTTTTACTTAAGATACTTAGTGTATCTTATTGTTAGTACTTTTGTACTATTTCTTGAGTAAAACATCAAAAGTAGAACTTAAACACCATTACATTTCAGTAAGGTTTTTTTTTTTTTTTAAATAGCATTTAAACATAGTATTTTTACATGTATCAGGATATTTTTACAAGATGGTTTTGCTACTTTTACTAATGCGGCTGACAGCACAAGGAAGAATACTACAGTTTTTTACTTTGTCACTCACTTGAAAGAGGAAGTATTCATTCTGCTCAGAATCTTAACAGGAAACACAGGCTAAACCATTGTTCAGTGGAGTCGCAAACTGTGAATTTATAATTAGATGTTATGAGGATTATAAATTAAAGCTGCACAGTTTATGTGTTTGACAGTTAAAATCCCCACCCAGGTATATTAGGTAGCACTTATCATAGACAACTTGGACAGAAGACAGGTTGGTGAGTCTGTATTTATGTTGGTACCTGCCATCTGCGGCTCCACCAAACAAAATTCAGAAAGAACGGAAACGAAAAAGAAAAAAAGCACGACTTTGTGTCTTCCTGCCACTGAGAGCGAATTTTGACTGTTCACCTCTGAAGAAACCAGTTTTTTAAAAAGACAAAAACAGAGTTTTAAAGACTTTTGAAGAAAGGAATCGAGTGTGAAACTGAATTTTTAACTTCAGCTAAGTTTATTAGCACATCCTCTCATCCTGAGCCACAGCAGAGCTGAAAACAAAACATTTTGAGACTGAAGGTGAGTGTGAGGTTCCTGTTTCACTGTTAGTTACTGAACTTGTTGCTGGGTTTATCTGCATGGACATTGTTTTGCTGTGACTGCAGTGCCAGTCCCTCAGTCCGTCTTTACAGTAAGCTCTGCAGCTGATGCGCATGGGGACTGAGCATTATTCCGCTTCACGCTGACCTGGTGTGAAGTGTCACAGTGTTGGTGAATAAAAGTGCAAAACAGGATGGGGGCAGTGTAGAGACTCTGACGGGGCTGCCTCTGACTGAGGTGTGTGAAACCCACTCAGCAGTCATCAGGTCCTCAATGGTGCGTGAGCACGAGCTGGGACGCCTAGTATCTCCCAGTGCCACCCATATGCAGAGTAAATATAATATGTGCAGCCTCTGGAGTTTGCTTTGGAGATGGACCCTCCCCTTGTTCATGTTGTGTGTCTGACCAGTACTCCTGTGTAGTACTGTTGTTCATGTATGTCCTCTGTGGACAGAAAACAAACACATACACAGACACAAACTGAATAAAATGCTCAACATGAAGACAGTTCAAATTAGTAAATGGCATCTGAAATTAGCTTTGTGATATTCTGAGTAAACAAAGTAGACAGAAAAACAAGAGTGGAAAGTAACCGTACATTTACTTAAGTACAAATGTACTCTCAACTAATAATTCTTACACACCTTTAAGTAATTAAGTTTTTGAATGCAGGACTTTGACATATATCAGAGTACTTTTACTGTGTAGTACTGATACTTTTACTTTAGTATAAAGATCACGGTACTTCTTCCACCTCTGTTTATGAACATAAGCTGTGCAGACACCTGTAGACACACACTGGTGGAAGTAGTACTGCATCAGTGCACAGCATGTATGTAAATGTGTGTTACAGATGTTTCTGAAAAACCTGGAGATGAAGTGGAAAACAGCCCTGACCTCCATCTTGGAGGAGCTGGATGAGGCGCAGTTCAAGAAGACGCTGTCCTACCTGGAGAAGATACCCCAGGGTGTGAAGGCCGGGAAGGTCAAGGAAGAGATGCCCCAAATTATCATCCAGTACTTGGGCACAGAAGAGTCCATCCTTGCAATAAATAAAGCCATGGATCAGATCCCCAGGAGGGACGCTGCAGTCCAGGGCCTGCTGCGACCTTTTGTGCACAAACTGAAGGACCAACGCCAGAAAGACAAGAAGAGTGAGTTTAGACAATGAGGGGTGTGAACAGTTGGTTTAGGCTTTCACACCCCCAGTTTCCTTCTCATGTTTCATTTTTTTTAACATTAGATTACTGTCAGCTTAATTTTATCAAAACTAGAGTTCACAAGGGGCAACGTTCCTAATATTCTGACCCTCTCATGTCTGTAGCTGGGGAGGACAAAAATATAGAGAACATACAGTCTTATGCAAAAGTTTAGGCACCCCTTGATAAATAACAGATTTTGGTGATTTTTTATTTGAACAGATGTTAACACAGTTTCTCTTGGAAATGGAAAAAATGCACAATATTTTCTGCAAACAGTGATGCATAGTTACTTCTTATGCCATAAATTGAACAAAAATATCTGTCTTTGTTTCTCTCTTACAGGTCAACAGAAGAGCGGCAAAGCTGACAAGGTAAGAGGGACGCAAATCATTTGATAAACAGCCTCACACCATTAGACTGTGATGTAGCCATGCTTGTATTAATTTAGCTAAACATAGTTTAAACTGTCAACAAATCCAGCTGACCTGGCTTTTTGATGCTCTGCTTTTGTATCCAGAAGAAGAAACCCCCCAAGAATCAGAAAGGCGGCGACCAACAGGGCGCTGAAGCCACAGCCGGGCCATCTGGGCAGAATCCTGTGCAATGCACAAACCAGAGAAAAAGGAAGGTGAAAATCTTTGTATCAATCAGTGAGCTGCTGACAAGACGATGAGCTCTAAAGGCTGCAGCCAGTGATTCTGCATGTTTGTTACTGTGCACAAACCCCATCCAGACAGCAACAGCACCAGTGTTTAGTTACCCTGTCACTGCCCTTAATCCTGAGAACATTCATTAATTCTAGGTGTTGCATTCAGTTGTTTTAACCCTGTCCTGACTGTTTGTCCAGACTGATGCTGCAGGTCCAGTGAAGCCCAAAGTGGTAAAGAAGCCAAAGAAAGATTTACCTCTGATGCCACCTGGACCCATCATGTCATCTCAGGTCAGCTGGATTTGTTGACAGTTTAAGGGTCAATTTATTCACATTAAAGCAGGGAACTTATAGAATTAAGTTTTGTACACAGACATAAAAACTGTTTACATATGTATGCATTTTAATTTTTCAGTTGTTTTTGTGTGGGAACATGGGGCAAACATATGAATTGTTTGCAAGTCATGTATAGATTTTTTTTGTTACCAAACTGACTTAAGATCACTTAAAAATAAAACACCACCACCAAAGAGATCTAAGCCCGATTGCCAGGACCCCTGACTCCAACATTGATGACCAAAATCTAAAGTCGTGTTTTAACCCTGTCTTGATGGTTTGTCCAGACTGATGCTGTAGGTCCAGTGAAGCCCAAAGTGGCAAAGAAGGCAAAGAAAGATTTACCCTTGATACCACCTGGAGCCATCATGTCATCTCAGGTCAGCTGGATTTGTCGGCACCTTAAGGGTCAATTTATTCACATTAAAGCAGGGAACTTATAGAGTTAAGTTTTGTACACAGACATAAAAACTGTATAGTACATATGTATGCATTTTAACTTTGTTTTTGTGTGGGAACATGGGGCAAACGTATGAATTGTTTGCAAGTCATGTATAGATTTTTTTTATTTTTTACCAAACTGACTTAAAATCACTTAAAAATAAAAATAAAAACACCACCACCAAAGAGATCTAAGCCCGATTGCCAGGACCCCTGACTCCAACATTGATGACCAAAATCTAAAGTCGTGTTTTAACCCTGTCTTGATGGTTTGTCCAGACTGATGCTGCAGGTCCAGTGAAGCCCAAAGTGGCAAAGAAGGCAAAGAAAGATTTACCCTTGATACCACCTGGAGCCATCATGTCATCTCAGGTCAGCTGGATTTGTCAGCACCTTAAGGGTCAATTTATTCACATTAAAGCAGGGAACTTACAGAATCAAGTTTTGTACACAGACATAAAAACTGTTTACATATGTATGCATTTTAATTTTTCAGTTGTTTTTGTGTGGGAACATGGGGCAAACATATGAATTGTTTGCAAGTCATGTATAGATTTTTTTGACAGTTGACAGTTTAAGGGTCAATTTATTCAATTATACAGCAGAGAATTTAGAGAATTACTTTTGCATGCACATAAACGCACACAAAGCAGCTGGATAATGTGGTGGTACGAATGCTACCTTTCAGGCGAGAGACCAGGGTTTGAATCCCTCTAAATCAAATACCTCCAGTAGGGGTCCTTAGGTAAAACACCTCATTACTCTTGACCTCGCCTGCCTCCGGTATGAGAGAGACACAAACTAACAGTGTCATGCCAGCTCAGACATTGCCTGGATTAGCAAGGTCTGCTTCAGATGCTGGGGAACCAGGACAATCTGATCAATCTTTCCGGTGAAAGATTGCTTGAGGTAACTACAGTATATTAATGAGGTAACTATGGGTACACAAAAAACCAACATCCACAATAACTGACAAAAACCTAGTTACCCAACACTTCAACATAGTGAAGAGCAAGATACTGTACTATCACAGCTGGAGATAGACCATTATATTACAACCCATGCAGAAGAAGACTTGGAAGAACCGACTATACAAGCAACAATAAAAGCCTCAGAAACAGTCCAACACATAGTGGCAGGATGTAAAATGCAGGCAGTCACAGCACACACTGAAAGGCACAACCAAGTGGCTGGCACTGTGTACAGAAACATCTGTGCTGAGTCTGGGCTTAGACCCTCCCAAATCCAGATGGGAGACTCCTCAGAAGGTTGTGGAGAATAACAGGGCTAAGATCCTGTGGGACTTCCAGATCCAGACAGACAGGAAAGTACTGGCCAGCCAACCAGACATCGTGTTAGCAGACAAGGAACAGAAGGAGGTAGTAGTGATAGACATAGCAGCTCCAAATGATAGCAACATCAAGGAGTATGAGAAGCTGAAGAAGTACCAGGGCCCGAAAGAGGAACTGGAGAGGATGTGGAAGGTGAAAGCCAAAGTGGTCCCAGTGGTGGTAGGAGCACTTGGAGCTGTGACTTCTAGACTAGAAAAGTGACTGACAGATCCCAGGAACAACATCAGAGATCTCTGCCCAGAAGAGTGCGGTGCTAAGTACAGCTAAGACACTGGGCAGAACCCTCAGACTGTTTAGTTACCCTGTCACTGCCCTGAACAACATGCCTTAATGCTATTAATTCTGAGAACATTCATTAATTCTAGGTGTTGCATTCAGTTGTTTTAACCCTGTCCTGACTGTTTGTCCAGACTGATGCTGCAGGTCCAGTGAAGCCCAAAGTGGTAAAGAAGCCAAAGAAAGATTTACCTCTGATGCCACCTGGACCCATCATGTCATCTCAGGTCAGCTGGATTTGTTGACAGTTTAAGGGTCAATTTATTCACATTAAAGCAGGGAACTTATAGAATTAAGTTTTGTACACAGACATAAAAACTGTATACATATGTATGCATTTTAACTTTGTTTTTGTGTGGGAACATGGGGCAAACATATGAATTGTTTGCAAGTCATGTATAGATTTTTTTTGTTACCAAACTGACCTAAGGTCACTTAAAAATAAAAATAAAACACCACCACCAAAGAGATCTAAGCCCGATTGCCAGGACCCCTGACTCCAACATTGATGACCAAAATCTAAAGTCGTGTTTTAACCCTGTCTTGATGGTTTGTCCAGACTGATGCTGCAGGTCCAGTGAAGCCCAAAGTGGCAAAGAAGGCAAAGAAAGATTTACCCTTGATACCACCTGGAGCCATCATGTCATCTCAGGTCAGCTGGATTTGTCGGCACCTTAAGGGTCAATTTATTCACCTTTAAAAGCATGGAAGTTACAGAATTCGTATAGTTTTCTACACTAACTTTGTTTTATCATTTTTAAATTAGTCAAATGTGAATGTTGTATAAGTCACGTACACATTTTTGTTACTATATACAGTATCTCGCTTGGTGCAGGACATCAGAAATTAGAAAAATTAATTTCACATAGATGTCTCCCAAAAATGTCTCTGTGATGAATCCTCATTAAATATGTGCATTTCCAGACTGCTCAAGATGAAATACGGATCTCAGTACCACCAACAGGACAGACACCCACCTGGAGACCAATTTTCCCAGAAACTGGATACAGCTACTATGACCAATCCCAGGGTGTTTGGAGAGGAAAATAACACACACTGTGGAGTTTTCAATGTAAACCTTCCCACTGATCAATGCTTTGGGTGAATTTTAATTAGGATTCCTTTGATTTTTATTCAAGGCCTGTTTGAAACCTCTGCTAAAATGCAAACAGCGCTCTTTTAATAAATAAAATCAAAAACTAACCCATGAAACGTTTTGTTTATAGAGTTCTATGGAAACACCCACTGAGGCTGATTTTAGCTGAAAAAGTCTAACCTGACAACCAGAAACATCTTGGGAAAAAAAAAACAACAAATATTTATTTCTACTTAACTTTATTAAAAAATATCAAACAAAATCATCAGGTAACATGCGCGCGCACGCACACACACACACACACACACAACCATGTAAACTACATCTAGACAGAGAGCGTCCTGCTTGTTGAGAAACCAATTTCACTTTGGGGGCAAAAAAAAGTCTTGACAAGCAAAACAAAAATAACCAAATCAATCAAAAATTGTATTGTTTCATTCCAAAACATTTTGCATCCAATGTATCAATAATTAAAGGTGGAGGGTAAAAATTACCTGATATTTCCGGTTAGATTTTTAAAAAATATACAATATTTATATACCACCAGTGTAGTGTGTGGCTGGCAGCTCGTTTTGAAAGGAAACGCTCCATAACGTCTCTAAAGAAGTGCCTGTTTGTTTGTCTGTGGTTATGTGCACACATTACATTCAAACCAAACAGAAGAAGAATGTACAAAAATAGACCATTAGGCATTTTACACTTTGCATGTTGAGTTTTTCTCCAAAAACCACCTCTGTGCACGTGGAATCTGCTTGTACCCCACCACTCTTCTTCATTAATAAGATAAATCATCTTTATTCACATATGGACAGATGAGCACGCTACGCTAATGCCTGTTTTTATTTACTTGTAATTAAACCAAATGTCTTAATGAAGAATACTGAGAAGCCGTGTTATCGAAAAGGTTATTGATCAGTAATGCAGCACGTTTTCATGCTGAGAAGCACAACGTGGTGCAAACAAGCTTTTCAAACACAGAAGAAAAAGAGGAAATGAGCCTAATTTTCACAATAAACAGAATGTTTAAATTGACGTTTGGAGGATTTGAGAAAATCTGATCAATCAGTTGCAAAATCAGCCGAAGTCATAACTGTAACATGCCACTCTGACAGAAATCAGACCTAACATTCAATGTGAAGCGAGTTTTGCGAGTCCACAGTGATTTACTGACTCGGTAGGTGCCTGGTTACAGCACACAAGTAGATTCAAATGTCTAAATCAGTGGTTCCTAAACATTTTGGTTTGTGACCCCCTGAGACCAAACCAAATCATCCTACACTCAGTACTGGTTGCATAAAAAAAATAAAAAAAAAAATCCATGAATTCACACAAAACGGGGGGCAATTCTGAGCACAGTCAGAGACAATAGAGCCGATCTGTTGCTTTCGTCAATCCCCCCTACACCCCCATATACTTGTCCTGTGTCCCTCTTTCAGGGCCTTGAAGCACTGCTTTAAAACAGAGAAACCTGGTGTGGTAAATGGCTAACTGTGTTTTGTGGTAAGTGGGATAAAACATACAAACCTCGCTGGCCTATCAGAGTCATCTCAGGGTGAGGAACGACTGAGCCAAGCTTTGTGCTGGTTTCTGCTGAAGGCGCCAAAGCAGCTCAAACACACAGTGTCCAAAACTGAGGCGAATCAACTCCAGGCTGACAAATGGCTCCTCTCTGTGCTCAGAGCCTCAGAAATGAGAAGAATGGACTACTCTCAAAATAAACGTTTTTGCAGCCTTTTTTTTGTTTTTGGAAAGTGTCAGAAGCAGAATTTCATGTCATCCGAGCAGCAGAAAAGTCAACACCCACAGACCTTTTCATAGTTTTATTCCCAACACCTCTGTGGTATTTCTGCTGTGCTGCGCTCTCATTGGCTGACGACGAGCTGTCGCAGGTATGATTGGGTGAGGCCTCGCAGCTCCTCCAGCGTGTAGTCCTCTGGCATCGGCAGGCGGGTGACGTGTGGCACCAGCTGAGCAAGTGGGAGGCTGAGGGAGGCAGACGCCGCGTCGCCCTGCTGCAGGCTCAGCACCACACGCAGGATGTTGGCAACACGTTTCGCCATTTCTGCATAGAGGGAGGGGGGCCGGGTTTTCATTTTTGTCTTTGAAGAGAGAATTTTTGTTTCATCACAGTGAGAACACCACATTCACAACCATACAACATCACTGGCTTCATGCTTTAAACCTGCAGTAACTGCTGAGCTCTGACTGGCTGAGAAGCTGACAACAGCTTCAGTTAACCACAGCCTCAACACTGTCGTCCTGAACCTGCCGGCCCGCAGCTTCTGTTTTCCAGTGTCAGATAAACTGGTGACAGGAAATGCCAGCAGCAATCAGATGGCTAATCACAGCTGATTTGGGGGTGGGGGGGTGGTAAACCTACTTTGCCAAACTACTTCAGTAATCGATCAATGTTTTCTGTCACTTTCCAGAAGAAGTCAGACTTTTGCTGAGTGGAAATTTGCTGCCTTGTTTGTGAAGAACTCTAACCTTTATTTTGAAAGGTGCTAATAAATGTAAATCCTTACTTTTGTGACAGGGTAGTTAATGAAATCTGAGCTTTGGCCTGGTGAACAGATAACTCGAGCCATTTTAAGATGTCGCCGTGGGCATTTGCTTTGCTTTGCTTGTTGATATTTCTTAGACTAATCATTTATTAATAACCAGTAGTTTACTCAGGTTAATAATCAAATCAATCAGTAGCTGAGCCCTGTATCAGGTGATATAATCCAACACTGTTCTGTTCAAATGTTTCACCTGCTGAGAAATTACATCTCCATGACAAATTTAACTCTAGTCCTAAATCTGATCCTTAGCTTCACCTACATCAGTCAGTCACAGCACAGATACAGTATGTGAGTGAATCGAGCTGCTGGGAGGAAAACACTTCAGCTTTTTGTCACCAGTTACATCTGGTGGCTATGGGCCGGCAGCGCTCTTACCTGATTGGGCAAGGCGGTCCCTGGCCGTGCTGCAGGGCAGGAGCTCGATTCTGCTGCACAGAGATGTCACGTTGGTGTAGAGATGCTCCAGCTTGTAACCGGCGTTGTCCGCCTGCCAGTGAGGAGGAAACAAACACTGCATTACGTCTGCATCTTGTACCCACCAAGTATGTTTACTCATGTACACAACTCCAACTTTAATTTTATACTAAACATTTCTATACCACTATAATTCATAGAATACTGTACTGCGCCACCTTCGTATTATAGCTTTAGACTTGACACACAGTGATGAACGCTGACCACTGAGAAGTATACAAAGCACTTAAAACTAGCTCTACACTAACCAGCTACAGCGTAAGTACTTTTATAGTTTAAGTACATCTTGTGCCAGGACTGTACTTCTGCACTTTAACCAAGTACATTTCTAAAGTAGGACTTTACCCGTTTGAAAGATGTGCACTGCTACTTTTTCTACAGTAATTAATCTGAAGTCTTCCGTTCTGTAAGTCAAGCTGTTTTCTTCATCTCATTTAATGAATTGTGATCGTGGAGGTTTAGGCAAACTGTGGCGATCGCTCTTTATCAAACTGCTCCAGATTGACCGTCCCAGTATGCTAACCAGTAACACAATCAACTGCCCAGTACTTTGTATCGTAGCCGTCTCAAATGCTTCCAGGTCATTAACATCGATTCAAACAACACTTCTGTATCTGCTTCGCAATCAAAACTGCACAGCTTAATTATCTTTGCTGGGAGGCTTTTACTGTGAAAGGCAGCTGCAGGAAGTTTGATTCAGGATCAGCAGGACACTGATAGACTCTTCTCACCTCGGATTTACATGACATACGTACTTCTAGAGGCACCGTGCCAACGGTATTTAAGTCCCCACTGTACCTGCTGGATGTCCTGCAGAGTCTTTATGACGCGGATGTAGTCCAGGTAGACCCTCCCTGCAGTGTCCCAGTCCTGGATGGTGGCGCTGTGGTCAGGGACAGCCAGACCCTCCAGGAACTCCAGCAGGTAGTCGTGGTTGTCGTTGATGATGCAGTCTACAAGAGGTACACAAAAACAGATGGGAATAAGCTGAATTCAGTGTAATGAGTCTAAAACTCTCATTTTCCGAGTCCCTCCCTGTTGAACCAAGGCTTCGACTCTAAACTACTTGTCCAAAACGGACCTGACCACGGCTCTTCAGTTTAGAGGTCTTTTATTTATTTATTTTTTACAGTTTTCATCTGAGAGCTGATAGCCGCCAGAAGTCTCTGTATGCAGTATGGCTGCTCTATGTCTATATGCACGCATCACATCAGGTACTGTATTTACTGTGTGGGCGGCTGCTTAGTTTAATGAGTGTCTGTTTCTCTTTCACAGCTTTTCTCTACAATTCCGGTATTTTTATTTTATCAGTTTTCACTTGAGTTCTAGTTTCACTTACATCAAACAAACTGCCACTTTCCTTTCAACATAGTAAAAACTTAGGCATAAATGAAGCAAACAACAACAGTCTGACTTTGGTTTGGATGAGGGCCCATTGCACAAAAGTACAGGAGACTGTCGATTTGACTTTAACACAGTCCTCCCATCAATAAAACAAAGTGCCTGCAAATCAGTGAACAAGACAATTTCTCCATGCCCTAGTTAAGTCAGTCTCTCACCCTGCTTTACATTTCAATCAAACTAATCAAGGGCCTCTGAACAAAAGGAGACCATGTAAATTTTGTTCCCCAGCAGGCAGCACAGCCTACAGTGAAAAGTGAGCTTATTTTCAATTTTCACCCAGATTAGCAAGCATGCTTTTGATATTGTCAGAAAGATTTTTCTCTTCCAAGGCGTCTTGAGTGAGTGGCCTTTTTAGTGCCTGCTTCAAAAAGCATCCCCCGTACCCGAGCAGCTGTCACTTTCAGCAAGCACTGTGGAGGATGGAAGCGGGGGAGGGGTCCTTTGAAGGAATGGTTAAAAGTGGGCGATAAAAATAAACTGGGAGAGAGGAGAAAATTAATTATACATAACAGACAGTTCACTTGGATGAGCACGACAGAGACAGAAACTAACGCCACTTCCCTCAAAAAAAAAAAAAAAAAAAAAAGAAATTTCAGCAGTACCACGCTGCTGTTTGAAAACAAACTGCCACATATCTGTTTTCTGGTCCTTTTTCTCTTCGTGTCACTGGAAATACTTTCTGATTTGTCACGAAGAAACCACAATCACTAAACTGACCTGGCAGCATGAAATGGCAGCTCAGGCCCATGAGGACATTAATCTGTGTGGAAACCAATTGAAACTGATCTGCTAGTTAACAACAGGGAACACTGGGTGCACCTGAGGCCAGGTGTTGGATCAGCAGCCGGTGACACTGGTTCCAGTACCCAGCTCGGTACAGGTGCAGGGCCTCCTGGTGCGTGTCAGCGTCTCGGCGGGCTCGCATGGCCTTGGCCTCGTGGATCCACTGCTCTGGGATCAGCAGTCTCTCGGTCAGGAAGCGCTCCCTCTGGACAGACTCACCCGTCTCCTGCAGGGGGCAGTAGAGGGTCAGCGTCTCCTTCACCGCTCGCTCCCGCTGACTGAGCACACACAGGGAGAAATAAACCAGGTTGGAGGAGTTTCTCTAAAGGGACGATGAGCTGGAGCCAAAGAATAAAGTTAAAAACGACCAGGAAACAAGTAATGAAAGGAAAGAGACAGGCCCAACGGACTAACTGTGAGGAATTCATTGTTGGTTTAATCTCTGTATGGAAACTGCTGAAAATACTAATACAGAAAATGACCAGGTTTTTGTTTCAACACAGTTTTTGATAAAAAAAAACAAACTTTTTTTTGAAACACACAAAAACACAACTATACAGAAATCTCTGCAACTGTGAGACATTTAAGTAATAAATGTAACGACTGGTTATTGAGGTAGACAAAATATCAGAAACAATCAGATGTTCTTTCACCAGGACGACAAGTCTACCCTCAGATCTCACATTTTACCAAATCAAAAACAATTAAAAAGGTCCCTCAAATATGAAGGTCATGATATGAAACAAAAAGGGGTGTGACGATACACTCGGCTCACGGGAACAAGACTTTAACACAAAGAAATCTTCAGTGATGAAATATACAACTGGAAAACGACTGGAATGCTGATCTTTACTGCAAACCTCTTTTTTTTTTTATGACTGAATCTTCTGTGTCAGATCAACGTTTTTGTTTTCACCACATTCTATCTAACTTCCTGTAACTTTTGCTGGACAGGTGGAGGAACTGTACCTGCTACATTTAGTCCAGTTTTATTTTGTGTGTTAGCAAGTAAAGACCAAGGGAACATACGTGTGGTCAGGGATGTGCAGCAGAATGAAGATGGCCATGTGCCACAGGCCAGCGCTCTCCAGCTGTGCGGCGTAGCTGGTGTGGAGGAGTCCCTCCCGTGAGGCACTCAGGTGGCTGTAGTGCAGCGCCTGGAGGACGCCCCACAGGTGCCAGCTCAGACGGTAATCCAGACGCTCCCAGGTGACCGTCAGAGGGTCCAGCAGCTGCTGCAGGGGGTAGTGTCTGCATGAGCACACAAGTCAAGCATTAAAGGCGCATTCCGCTGTTTCACACATCAAGGTTGGTCCCCAGTTTATGAAAACAGTTGCAAAATGTCTGCATCCAGTCTCACCACAAAACTCTACTGAAGCACAAGTCTGGTGACTTTCTCTGTTTGTGTTCATGTGAATCTGCACTGGTGTTTTCCATCATTCTGAATTTTTATCCAACTCAGGAAAACACATTTGTGGGGGAGTCAAGTTTTTTTTTTGGTTCAGTGACACTCTTTTCTAATGACACACGTGAAGGAGACATCTAGCACAGGATGGTGTTGCAGGGCTGGGTGACACCAGAGCTTACATCAGGTCCACCACACCGTCTGTGCACCACCAGGCTGGTGTTTCTGCTGCAGACAGGCAAGGGAGGGAGGGGTGGTTTACCTGTCACTGTAGAGCTTAAGCAGGTGGAAGCACAGATCATACAGCGGCCGGTTAGACTCCTCCTCCTCAACATATAGCTGCTCCTTCTCCAGGTACGGAGGCAGTGGGGAACAGGCATACTTCCCGGCCTCACAGGAGCCCTGCAGGAGGAACACAAAACTGATGAGGAGAAAGACACCAGTCTGTGTTCTGATACCATGACCACAGAGTGAGAAGCAGCAGTGCAATCCACAGCAGCTCACCTGGAAGGCAGCTTCATATTTGGCAAGGGCGTCTGCCACCGATGCGGTCGGGGGCAACATGAACCAGAGGTGGACGGCCATGCTGCGTTTCCAGTCCAGGTGAGTGCACACATTCACCTCCGAGTCGGACGACTGCCACACCTGCAGAGACAGAGGAAACACCTCAACATCAGAGAACAGACTTTAAACATGGTGACTAGGACTGCAACAGATCATGTCAGTTTCTCAGCCATGGATCATCTTCAGATCAGAAAAAAAGGAAACAAATACACAATTATAACCGTTTTCCTTTTATTAATTAAATAACTGGAAGAACACTAAGTACAGAACTTTTGTTCATTCAAGGGGTCTCAGGTTTAAATCAAATCTTAAAAAAAATATATTCTCTAGTAGGGCTGAATGACAAATCGTTCTGTGGGCGAGTCAGATCCCTGTGCGGTCTCAGCCTCACGTGACATTGATTCTGTTGGGAGATCCCTTACATTAAACCAAGCGCTCTCTATAACGCTCCCTAGTGAGTCTTTACAAAGCAGCAAAGACATCTCATTTCTGCTGGTCTGTGTTCTGCCTGCTCAACAGCTGTGTGATAACCTGGTCATACAGCCTCTGTTACTAGCTAATTGTTGCACATCACATGATTCATTGGTTCCTGTAGTAGAAAAACGCTGTCTCCTGCCACAGACAATGCCCTTTCTCTAGGAACTACAGTGCCAGACACAGCGAGGCAGCGTCTTACCATCATGGCAATCTGACAGTATTCACACTTACTGCTTTTCCACCACACCCTGTTTTCACTGCAGCAGCACTGCGCTTCTATTTCATACTATGGTGGTTAAACTGCAACTTTGTTCACTGGACAAAGTCAAGGTGAACCTCCAGTGCTTCACAAACACTTCCGCTGTGACTGGTCCATCTGAGGACCACCGGTAGGAAACTGTGTCTCAAGTTTTTATTTTTTATTTTTTTTAAATGCAGTTTAAATTCCTTAAGATTCTTGACCATTTAAATGGCAAGAAGTGATTGTAGCCTATATGAACTGCACAGTGAACCAATCCATAAAATGAGCAGCTGCTCCTGTCCTTGCTGTCTGTGTTTAATTTTTAAGGTGAATCTTTCATCACATGTAAATCACTCAGTAAACTCTTTTCTCTCTGTCGTCTTTAGACAAACAAACTAAAAGGTGTCATACGGGTTTTCCGGCGAGCAGTGTGAAGATGCGAAGTCGTTCCTCAGGCAGGTAGCAGTCGTTCTGCGTGCGATTCCAGTCAGCGAGCTGCAAGGCCAGCAGGTCCCGGCAGTACTGAGAGCCCACAGCCTGGGACAGCAGCAGGGACAGACGGTGGTCTCCTGGAGGAGGGAACAGCTGGATGTTAGCACTGATGGTAGGACTTGTATGGAGTCGGGCCGCCTGCCTCATGACCCTCCGACAGAACAGATTCAACCAACATGCACCAGCTAGAGCTTCACTTGTGGCGTGAGTATGACTGACTTAAATCATCTTTCCACACTGATCAGATTGAGCGAAACAGTGGGACTGTAGCTGCTGCTGACATGCTGTTTAACCCTGTACACACTGAACTAGCTCCTCACTGTTCCCCCCCTCCACTCCCACTCCTCACCCTCCTTCTGTGCGAGCCGACACGCCTCACTGATGCGGTTGCCTGTCAGATAGCTGAAGATGGCCTCTGTGTGACGACCCTTGCCCACCAGAGCCACCTCCTCCTCCACCCTGCAGGTGGCGCCGTGGGACAGCCAGGTTGAGAAGGTCCGCCTCCTCTCCAGCTGCTGCTCATAGCCGCTGAGAGTCTCTATGTCTGGCTCCTGGTCTGCGGGACCCAACCAGCCCCACAGGGCCTCACACAGGGTCCAGACTTCAGCCCAGTAACCTAGGACAGCTGGGGGGAGAGAGAGAGGATTATAAAGACAGGGCAGAAGCACATCTCTTAAAGGTCTGACTGACAGGAACTGAAATCTGCCCCTGTTGCAAAGAAAGAGCTGCTGGTGTGTGCGCCACATACAGACACAAAGATGTCTTCACTTTAACACTACCACACGACTGTCGCTGCTCTAGTCTTACTTTGAAATGTTATTACAGTAACGTATCAGGTATCTTCTCAACTGTTTTCATTCTGAAATAGCAGCTTACACTCCAGCTGCAAAGGTTTTCTGGATTAGTGGGGTTTATCTGTAAATGGAACATTCAAGATGGAGGCTTCATCATTTAACAGAGATGACTGACGTCAGGAACAAATCTCCACAAGGACTGTGTGCCAGGGCTCTAAGGCCGTGGTCAGACTGAGTTTCAAAGATGTGAAAAAAACGCAAACCTCTCCATTCATTTCTATGGGGGACTGCGTTCAACACAGCTGGCACCAACACCGCAGGGGGTTCTAGCAAAATGACACAACCTCATGTGGCAAAAACACTGGATCTGGTTCAACTTTTGCCGTACTGGACGGTGACATCATCCGGCAAAGGCACTGCATTGATCAATCACGGGGGATGATCGGGACGTGGACACTCACCAGAAGACAACTCTTGTGTTTACCTTGTTAGCATGAGCATTCACTGTCAAATTTGGGCCACAGATAATGCACCATGACACGCTGTGCATTTTTGTTAGTACTGGATGTTAAACTGTGGTTTTTATCTACCAGTGCCGACACACTGGAGACAGAATTGGTGCTAAGGTAGAGCAGGCTATATTAGCAGCATGGCTAACCAAACCAACGGAAACTCACAGGCTAGAAACGTTAATGAAGCTGCTCACATGGACTCATCCTAACATAGCTGTATGACACCCCTGACCAACGCAGCACCACATGTTAAAACACAGCAGGGAGTTGTGTCTGGAGTCTGAACGCCCAGTAGATGGTCTTCATCTCCCCAACCACCACTCACAAAGGTGACATGACACTGCATGGTTATACATAAACACTAAAGACGTTTGTGTTAGGGGGAAATGTTCTGCCAAACATTTTATCATCTGAACCATTATGCACCATCATCTGTTGAATATGAGAGAGCAGTATCAGATAACTGGAATAAATGTGCTGTTGTCACTGTCTGCAGTAAGGCTGAGGAATACAACAAGAGACGCCAGGAGTCCTGGCAACTCATCTTAAATTAAGTGGAGACTCTTTAGGGTGCTTTCACACCTTAATTCGTTTGCCTTGGTCCGAATCAGTTGACGAGTTTGTAAACATGTAGCAATGTCTCCTTGGTTCGGTTTCATTTCACACACAGAAAAATCCAAGCGCACCAAAACACATCACGTAAAACTACGCAAGAACGTTCTCTCTGCTTATTGGTCAGATGTGTCTGCCGCGAGAACAGAAAAGGTAAATAAAGGAAGAACGCCCACATTTCTGTGACGAGAGAGGATGGAGGTCAACATACGCGGGTTGGGCCTCGCCCTGGTTATTTTGTATTACGTTACTTGCATTTATCACTGAAACCAAGTCATACAGTTTGCCCACGATTCATCCTGGCGCATGTTTTCGGTGACAGGAAATAAAATCTACCCATAATCCAATGCCCTCAAATCAATCATCCACGGCCTTTGGTCCCACTTTGGTTCGGTACGCGTTCTCACCAGGAGGACCGCACCTGAGTTCGCTAGATGATGTGGATCGAGACTACCTCATTTTGGGGGTCTCGGTGCGGTTACTTTGGTGCGCACTCGAGTGCGATTACCGTGTTCACACCAGACAACTCTAGTTCAATTCAATCGAACTAAACGCTGTAGGTGTGAAAGCACCCTTACACCCTAGTGTTGTGTCAATTTATACAGTTTCAATGAACTCAACCCAGATCAATTGGCTGGTGTCTAACTTCTGCAAATCATTTCTGATCACTCCACCACTTACGGTCTGCATCGCCCTGCTTGGCCCTCAGGTCAACGATCCACTCGGCGTACTCATGCAGCGCTGCCACACCAGGCTGCGGCCGGACCAGGGGGCAGGCAGACTCGTCTGTGGAGCTGACGGTGCTGTGCTTCAGACAGATCTCCAGGGGGTGTTGCAGCACCGCTTGGCTCGCTTCACACTCCTGCTCCTCGCTGGCCTTCACTGCTGGAGGTTCCAGAGCCACCAGCTGCTCCAGCACCACCTTGTAGGGGCTTTCTATCAGCCTAGAGGAGACAGCAGCAAAGAACAACACCAGAGTCGTGTCGAGTTATGTTTCCTTTTGTGAGTCTGATTTATGTTTTGTGTGGAAGTTGTCTTAAAGTTCAGATATGTTCTTCACTTTAACTGTAAATATTTGTCTCAGTACACTTTGAACTTAATGTTTGTTGCCAGGTTTTAATTTGTCTTTCACATGCTTCATATTGTACTAAGCACATGCTCATAACAACCAATATGTTTCCAATGGCAATAAAAACTGGTGATAACTGTGACGAGAACATGTTTTACTGGTAGAAACATCAGCCAAAATAACTTTCAATATGACAAAAAAATGCTTCAGATAATCAGTTGGATTTTCATGAGTGATTGTCATTTCCAGGTCACAGGATGTCCGATCAAGTAACTGAACAGTTTATTATCTGTGAAGAATAAATGATTGTGATCTATGAAGAAAGACATACAACAAAACAAAGTCTTGGCTGTTCATAAATGTCATGATGCTATGCATTGAACAGTACAACCGTGTGTGTCTTACGGCTTGCTCCCAGCAGGTTTCGGCAGGAAGTTGAAGTCGGCCTTGGTGGTCAGTTCTTGTTGGTCAAGCTGTTTGGAGGACAGCGAGCTCAGCCGGTGGCCACAGTGTGCCAAAGTCCAGCCGGGACCCCACCCCACCCGAAAGGACCGACCAGCAAACAGCCCTGCATCCATCAGGTATTTTACCTGCAAAACAACAACGCTCGACATAAATTATTGTGGAGAAACATCCTTCAAACCCCACAGTCGTCCGTTGGAGGGGGGATCTCAATCTGAACTGAAATAAAAGGCAACTTTTTCCTCAGAATACTTAGTTATTCATGACTTCTGCTTTACCGTTCCAGGTTTGTCTGCCATCGTGGAGACAAGAAATAAAGGATAGAAGTGAATGTGGTGCAGGCGCCTCAAGGGAATTTCTCTGATAAGAACAAACAAATGCTTGCGCTCGACCATTTTCATCGCAGTTGATTAGCAACACGTTTCAAAAAGCTGGAGGCTCATCTTGGCAACTGAGCAAAAAGTTCCCCAAAATCAAGGCCAACATGTAAAAAAAAAAAATGCTATGAGGATTGAGAAGATCCCCAATCAGTGTTTTGAGAAAAGGAGTCACAGATTGCAGAACTGCACTGGGGCTGGTGGAGAATAAACACAAGAAGAAAAACAGCACATGATCTTTGTTCCAAGATTTTGTTAGGCATCTTGGAGAGTGATGTGGCTGTGTTGGCATTCAGACATCGCAAAACAAACAATTCTCTGTTACAGTACCAACCTTCCCCTGAGTGACCGACTTTTTGAGCGGGACAGGGCCACCCAGCCGCCGCACACCAACCGTCTTGATCGAAGGCTCTGGAGCTCGAGGGGGGAGCAGGAAGGAGGAGGGGCCTGGTCCCCCCCAGTGTGAAGACCGGGATGGTTCAACTGCCGCCGGAGAAGCCCAGGACAGAGGAGGAGGGCGGGGAGAGTCGGAGTACTGAGAGAGGAAGCCGGAGGTAAAATGGGCCTGAAGGAGACCACCCACTGCAGAACATACATTTAGTTAATTATTAAAATTATCAGGAAAAGTGCACAAAAATCCTCCAGTTCCAGTTTCTCAAATGTGTTCATCATAGTAAACTGAAGACCTTTGTGAATTGAACTGTGAAACTTCCCTAAATAAATAAATCTGGCACAAAAACACACAAGGTGGACAGAGCTCTGTGCTTCGTACCGGAGGGTCGGCCCTGAGCTCCCGGCAGGACGACACGAGGAGATGAAACGTCAGCAGAGACCTTCATCACTCCCTGATCCTGAAACATGTCACCCTCCTCCTCATCTTCAGCAAACAGAGACGCCTTCATGATCTGCCGACAAAAGATGATGATTCCATTTGTGTCCTGGTGGCAGTCTGACACATCCTGTCTGTGGGCAAGTGTCTGACTCTACCTGGAGGGTGTGGGGGTTAATCCCCAATGTTGACGCTATGTGGCTGGAGGCAGCGCCGCTGTCATGCTCTGCGTAGATCAAACCTCCAAGCTTCCCGCCTGTTGTGTCCATCTCCCCCGCCAACAGGTCGCCATCCTCCTCCCCTCCCAGCATGCTCTCTGTTGGGAAGCTCTGGGTGATGTCGGCCATGTCACTGTCCAATTCTGGCACGCCACCCGGAAAATCCATGACAACCACGGACTGAGGGTGCACAGACGAAGACAATAAGAGTGATGAAAAAGAGGTTTAATTATGAGTCAGGCTGAAAGAATAAAGGGATTTTTCTTTTGGCTGTTCAGTCTCAGTGTATCAGCATTTTTTCTGCAGTTAATTCTATCTAGCTTGTTTTTTTGCTTATGGGTCCAGGACTACTTGTCTGATCTGCATTAGACAGGCCGCTGCCTCAACTGTTTCTCAGGTTACAAGAGTTTATTACAGCTTCTGTAACAGACTAAGATGTCTCCCTGATGCAGATTCTGAACTGGATTCATTTTTAACTATTAAAATAACCCATTTTAATAGGCCAATGCTGCGCTGGTTGAGGTCTGAGCTATCAGCAGGGGGTCTTCTCTAATGCATGCTGTGCAGTTTTCACAATGTTTCCAACACTAAAAACTTGATATTTCAACTGAAAAATTAAACAGAAAAGGGCTTCACTGACAGTCACAGGAGCTGTAGATATCATCTTTATTAACTTTGTTTAATGAATTGCAAAATAGAATGTATTACACACTGTCACGTCTTAAAGCAGGTTCGACTCAAAGTGTTTTCCTGTTGCAAAGGTAAAGTAAAAACACAAGAAGCTCATTCTAACATACAAAAAGTTTAATATCTGCACAAACATTCCTTGTATTAATCCTTGAAGAACACTAACCTTAACAGAGTCCCTCCTACTAATGAGGACATTTTTTTATGCTTGAAATATCTTCTGTTGTTATCAAAGTGTATTTCTGCTGCCAGTGCAGACCTTCACACATGGGAGTGTGTAAACAGGCTATCAAAATGAAGCAGCAGGTTCATTTTGAAACATGTTACTAAAGAGCAAAGGGAGACGTTCAGATCCTGTTACGAACTGCAGAGCAAGAAGTGTTCAGTTAGAAACAATATGCCCTTTAGTGTAGCCGAAGAAAACACCCTTTATTAAAATTAATAGCTCAGTGAAGTATAAAAAGGAGTGTCCAAAGACTCAAATCAGCTCTGCAACCATCAGGATTAAACACCATAACAGTCAGATGCGGAAATAAAACTCAAGCCAGCACCATGATTCACACCCGTGTACACACACACAAAACGAATCACAACATTTAGTGCCTTTCCTCTACTACATTCACATAAGAGACTCACTGCATCGCTGTCTGTGTTAACATGTTCAGTCCTGAGCAGATTTACACAGCGGACAGCGAAGCTGATGTCTGCTGGTTTAAACTAGAGCTGAAACAATCAGTCGATCAACTGATTACTTTAAGGTGCCAAAAATGTTTCCACTCTGTTCAACGCTAACACTTGCTGCTTTTCTGTTTCATACTCTCGTAAACTGAATGTTTTTGGGTTTTGAAGATGCCCAAAGGTGTCATTTTTAGTAAACAGTGATCAATTGAAAATAATCATCATTTCAATCAACAATGAAAACAACTTTGTCACAGTGCTTGTTTTAACCTGAGGTTTAAACATAAAAGCCAGAGGAGCCTCGCAGTAGACCCATCTGTTTCTGTGGTGTTCACTGACTGCAGCAGCGAAACTGTCCCTATGACAGGGAGGCAACGACCTTTGGAAACCAACTTCTAGCAAGATGTCTGGTTTCAAATCTGAATTTCATACCAATAATAAAGACAGAAACAAAGTTTGTGTGTGCTTTGTTTCCTTTGGTTTTCTGTCACTTTCCTCTAAAACACTGACATTTTATTTGTTTGACTCAAAGACCTTTGATCTGTAAAATACAGGACAAAACAACAAACCATTCCTGTGCTGTGGAGCCACATTTCTGGCAAGTCCTGCTCAAACAGCTTGCAGTGTTTACTGTTAAAATAATGTGACCATGATTAGCTGTTAAAACCCAATCTCCAATAAAATGAACTGCTTAAACTGTCACTCAAACATGTCTTTGGAGTTTAGCATCATGCACTGAATCAAATTTATACTTAGAAAATATTTAGCACTGACAAAAAAAGAGCAAAAAGTGTTATTTGCCTAAAAATGGCCACAGCTCCAAGAAAGCAGATGAAAACTGATTCTAAGTGTAAAAATGACCTGGTACCACCAAACACTGGGTACAATGCTCCTCTAATCATCTCCGCTGTGTCAGTGAGGAGGAGGAGTGTGGATGGGCACAGGCTGCTCTACCTGAGCCTGCTGCTGTGAGGGGGAAAGCTGCTGCTG